TCATACACCTAACCAACTAAGCATCACAGTTCAGCCTAGCCTGCCTTAAAGGCGTATTAGCCTACACTGATACTAGCCTATAGTTGGGCAAATGATCTAACACAAAGCCTATTTGATAATAAAGTATTGAATAGCTCATGTAATATATTGAATATTGTACTGGAAGTGAAAAAAAACAGAGGGTTTGTGAGTATATTAGTTTATCCTCAAGACTGCATGGCTGACCAGGAGCTGTGGCTCCGTGTCACTGTCCAGCATTCTGGGAGAGGATCACCCTACATATGGCTAACCCAAGAAAAGACCCAAATTCAAAATTCCAGGTATGGTTTCTACTGAATTCATATCACTTTCATACCATTGTAAAACTGAAAAATCATAAGTTGAACCGTCATAAGTTAGGGACTTTCCGTAGTACTGTATTACCACATCCTACATGTAAATAAACTGAGACAGAAGTTAAAGAATTTGCTCAAGGGGTGCCTGGGTGGCTCAGTTGGTGAAGCATCTGACTTTTGATTTCAGCACAGGTCATGATCTCGAGGTCATGAGATCAAGTCCCGTGTTGGAGCCTGCTTGGGATTGTCTGTCTGTCTGTCTCTTTCTCTGTCCCTTCCCCCATGCACACCCACATTCTCTCTCTCTCTCTCTCTCTCTCTCTCTAAAAAAGAATTAAAAATAAAATAAAGACTTTGCTCAAGATCATATAGCTATTAAGTGGCAGAGTATTTGACCCCAGGCAGTTGGCCTCTGAGCCCACAGTCTCTCAGAAGAGATTGCCATTGCCTTAAAGAAAGCCTCTTGTCAGCCGGCAGTTCTGAGTCACCACCCTCATGAAGCCCAAAAAGAGCAAGACTAGCACTCGACATCAGCTGTGTAGACCGCAATTTGGCCCAGTTAAAGAGACATTTACCCTCTTCCTCCCAGTTCATCCTAACATAACAAGGACCTGACACTTAAAAGGAAGCCAGGATGAATGTAAATAGCAAAACACCAACTCATGCCCCCTTCCCAAGGCACCAGAGCTAAGGATAAATCTAAGCTGTCTGGGGGGTAAGGAAGAAGAAGGTTTGATTCCAGTTTGAAACTAACATTTATAATGTATTCAATAACAAATTTCAGAGTAAAATCTTAAAAACCAAAAGTTTTAGTGTTTCAGTAGCTCAAAGTGGGTAGAAAGTTGTGGAATCTGGCAACATGTCCTCTGCAGGAAAGGGGATTTCACTGTGGCACCATTCAGGGGCAGGTCTGGGGCAGGATGGCGGGGAGGGACCATGTCATGGTTTTTGTCATGAGACCTCACACTGGGCATTCTTTCTCTTTCGAGGTGATTTATCCTTTCCATTATTTGTTGAGCAGCAGGGGACATTCTTACTAACCCCATTTCCAAGTGTTTAGGAGAATAATGATTCACTATAGTCCCTCGATTTAGACAAACTATACAAACTAATAACACAAACTACTGGTACCAGTGATAGAGGGCAAGGACTTCACTATGGGGATGACCCTTGAGCCGAGTCTTGTGGTTAGTTAATTGGCTGGGACAAGTCTCAAGGTTTGAGGGGCTCCCGGGTGGCCCAGTTAAGCATCCGACTCTTGATTTGGGCTCAGATCATGATCTCAGGGTCCTGGGGTCAAACTCCTCTGTTGGGTTCCAAGCTCAGTGGGGAGTCTACTTGGGTTTCTTTTCTCACTCTCCTTCTGCCCCTCTCTGCAACCCCCCAACCCCCACACACATTCTCTTTCTCTCTCTTTCAAAATAAATAATCTTCTTTAAAAACCTCAAGGTTTGAACCTGGAAACAGTTTGAGAGGCTTGACCCTATAGCAGGACATTCTAGACCCAGCTAGTCTGAGAAAAGCCAAGATGGGTACTAGAGAACCACAGGGACCCCAAGACCTAGTGTGGCTTCCTCTGCCAAACTGTGACAAGACCTCGACAGACACATAACCACTCACTTCTGTGATGTCATAAATAACTCTGCTTGCCCTAGTCACTGTATTTAAGGCTCTGCTCAACAAAGACCAAGCAAGAATAAATTACACAGAATAAATTACATTCCTAATACAACTCACATTTGGGCATGTTCCTACAGTGAATTTTCCTCCTGATTCCCACACTAGTCATTGCGCTCTTTGGAGTGTGTTGTTTTGGTTTTCCTTTTCCTCTTTTCTTACTTTTATTGTAATGCCTTTTATATTGCAGGCTTAGACTAAATAAATTCACCAAAAAATAGGAGGGGGAAAAGTTGATGCAGAAGTAGAGTTGCTTTGCCAAGAAGCCAAAGCTGTCTATATGAGGAGTCTGTCCTATGAGCGTCTCAGATAAGATCGTAGAGAAGGGAAACAGAAATTCAGCCTGAAAGAAAGTCCTCAGAAGCTTACTCCAGGCCTTCCTTCCACTCTAACTTAAAGACAAAGAATTTCCACTACGTCTGAAATAGAGTAAGTTTTTTTAAAAAGTTAAAAAGACACAAGTACTTAACAAAACCATTTAAAATTTACTTAAGGAGGAAGTCCTAATGAAATCTCTTGCCTAAAAATGATATTGACACAAGTTAAGCTTCACCGAAACAGTCCAGGTCTCTCAGGGCCTTTGTACCTGCTGCTTTCCCTGCCTGGCAAGGTCTTGCCTCGACATCAACATGGCTCCTGCCTTTGCTTCTGGTCTCTGCTCAAATGCTTCCTGGTCACAGAGGCTGCCCTGGGCACCCTATCAAAAGAGCTACCCTGGGACACCTGGCTAGCCCAGTAGAACATGTGACTCTTGATCTCAGGCTATAAGTTGAAGCCCCATGCTGGGTGTAGAGTTTACTTTAAAAAGAGAGAAGGGGAGGTGCCTTGGTGGCTCAATCAGGTGAAGCATCTGACTCTTGGTTTCAGCTCAGGTCATGATCTCAGGGTCGTGGGATTGAGCCCCGCATCAGGTTCCACACTCAACGCAGTGTCTGCTTGAGTTTCTCTCTCCCTTTCCCACCTCCCTTCCCTCCCTTGAATAAATAAAAAAATCTTTAAAAAAAAGAGTGGAGGGGGAATAAGCACTACCACTACCAAGGCCCACCCACCTGGAGTACTTCCCAGGCTCTTTACTTTTCTCTGCTTTCTCTCCATACCAATTGCCATCACCTGAATGGGTTTGGGGGTTTGTTTGTTTGTTTTCCATTGGTTCGTCTGTCTTCTCCCATAACCTCCCTGAGGAATGTCTATGTGGTTTCCTCCAAACACCTTACAGGAGAACAATCCCTGACAAGTAGTAGGCATTCAATAAAAATTAGTTGAATTAATGAAAGAAAAAAATGATGATGATTATCAAAGTTCTGTTGAATTCCTAAGTATTTCTGCACTAAAATAATTTTTCTCTATAGGACTACTTGAAATATGATCATGTAAAGATTCAAACTAAAAATCATGAGACTTAAGCCCCAGCTCTCCCTTTGATCTCTCGTGTAATCTGGTTAGCTCGTTTCTTGGAGCTTCTTCATCTTATTTACCTGACACCTTGAGGCTTGCAACCCTGATTCTAAAATCCAACAGAAAAATAGATTCCATCTTTAAACATTCTCTGTACATGTCACCTTTAGTTGCATATGTACGACATAAAACAAGGTACAACTCTAAAAGGCACCTGATGGGGTTCAGAATTAGTATCCACAAAATGTGCCACTTGGCATGCAGATTATTTAAAGCTGAAGACAATCTAGGCCCAGAGACTTGGGAAAAGCTTTTTATCTCCCCCCTGAACTGCCTCTAACAATTTAGAAAGATGGCCTGGTCCAGGAAAACAGCTATCACCAGAGAGCACTACAAAGAGTATGGGCTAGGTGTAGTAAGCCAGAAGGAGCATAGCAGGGCATGTCTGTTCAAATCCCTCTCTGTGTCCCCTGTCTCTGCATGGCAAACATCTGTTTCCCAAACATTTGCTCTTCCCATCCTCCTGTGAAGCCCCAGACCCCACCTTCTCCTTAGTTCAGGGTGGCATAGGAGCCTCAGTTGCCTGTCTCAGAGGCTCTCCTATCCCTGTGAGGTGTCCATACATAAGAAATGAAACATACTTGTCTCCTATTAATTTCATATCCATTTAATTAATATACCAGCCAAAATAAGAGTAAAAATTTTCCCTCCCATACACACCAAACATCTGAAGACTTTTTTTTAGCTACACTTGCAAAGCTGTTTCAAGTGTATTAAATTATCCACCAGACGTAAAGGCCAAGGGGAAATCAAGATGATTTCAGGAATAAGGTCTTTGTCTCTTATGGACCAGAATGTCTAAGTCTGCTATGAGATGAACGTATTTCGTTAGATTAAGACAATACAGTGATTTATGTGCATTTGCTAACAGTGATGCTACTTAAAGAATCTTTGAGCTGCTAAGAGTTTTGAGTATTGTCTATCACTCCTCTATCGAGTATTTAGAGAGAAGTCTCGCTTTCGGAATAAAGATGATTAGTCACACGACCCTGCAGAATGCAGCTCAGTGTGGGTAGAAAGACCACCAAAGCCTAAGTCTTAACCAGTTCGCTCTACTGCCTCCTCAGAGAAAGGACATGGCAAACCGACGAGCAGAAGCTGAAGGAAGGCTTTGCCTTCCCGGCTTCTAAATTACCCCGCCACGACCCTAACGCAGCTGGGGATTCTCGGCCCCTAGTTCCCGTCATCCCCTGGGCTCTCCCCTTCCCCGCCCCCAAATCCCGTGTGAGCAGTTCTCCTCTGCCCCGGTCGCTAGGTGATTCCCGAGGGCTGTTGGGAGTCTCGCGAGGGAGGGTGTACCGTTGCCCTAGAAACGAGTAGGCCTCGCCTCTCGGGGAAGGGCGTGGCTGAGGCTGTTAACTACAGCGGCGTTCCTTGGAGCTGCTAGGCTCTAGGTATCTCCGGTAGGACCGCTGCGGGGACGACCGGCCAGGCCAGAGGACTCGGGGCGGCGGCGAGGGCCCGGCCTAGGCGGTGGAGAGGGAGAAGACATCGCACACCCGACGCCCCTTGCCCGAAGCGACCGCGCGTTCCAGAAAATGAGCTCCTCCCCATATTGCCAGGTCCAGAAGTGAGGGTGGGAGGAACAGCTTAACCGACTCGACTTGGGGCTTAAAAGTGCTCAGTCCTCCCCACCGAGAAAGTGACCGTGCCTGCCCGCAGGCCTGCCCCGCGCAGCTGGGCTTGGAAGCGTCTGCTTTTGCCTCTTCTGCCGCAGACGTGGAAGCTACCCGGGAAGCGCCCATTAGCCAATGTGTGTGTGCGGCTTTCCTGAAGCCCAGGTTCTACATGACAGCAGGTCAGCGCGCTGGTGTGCCACGGAAGGAAGTAGAATCAGGGTTTATGCCAAGTTTTCCAGATTTGGAGTTGTGGTGATCCCCGGGTTGAGACTTAAGTCTCTTAATACTGGAGGAGGTGTCTTCTCTGTTGCCTTAGTAGGTATTCGCTCTCTGTGGAGAGGAGCATAAACCGGTAGACTTGAAATTGGCAAGTTCCTTTGGTCTCTCAAAAAATAATAGAATCTTAGCAAGGAATTTCTGTTTCTCCATTGTCTTAATAGCCACTTTGGAGGATGCTTGCCTGGGAGGAGTACTGGTCATGGCTAATAGAACCTGATCGCTATTGAGATTTAAGTAAGAATAATTGAATATTAGAACAGAGAACATCTACAGAATATTAACTCAAATATAAAGAGAAAAGTGTATTGTAGTAATTTGACCTCTTGGTCCATTGAAAATTAAGCAGAAAAAAAATTAAACTATATTAGATTTCCTTTTTTTAAATTTTTTTATTATGTTATGTTAGTCACCCTTTAGTACATCATTAGTTTTTGATGTAGTGTTCCATGACTCCTTGTTTGCATATGATACCCAGTGCTCAGTGCAATATACGTGCCCTCCTTAATACCCATCACGGGGTCAACTCCTCCCCCCCCCCCCCCCCGGTCTAAAACCCTGTTTGTTTCACGGAGTCCACAGTCTCTCATGGTTCATCTTCCCCTCTGATTTCCCCCCACCTTCATTTTTTCCTTCCTTCACCTAATGTCCTCCATGCTATTACTTATGTTCCACAAATAAGTGAAACCATGATAATTGTCTTTCTCTGTCCCCTCCAGTTCCATCCATGTTGATGCAAATGGTGGGTATTCATCCTTTCTGATGGCTGAATAATATTCCATTGTATATATGGACCATATCTTCTTTATCCATTTGTCTGTTGAAGGGCATCTCGGCCCTTTCCACAGTTTGGCTATTGTGAACATTGCTGCTATGAACATTGGAGTGCATGTGGCCCTTCTTTTCACCACAACTGTATCTTTGGGGTAAATACCCAGTAGTGCAATTGCTGGGTTGTAGGGTAGCTCTATTTTTAACTTTATGAGGAAACTCCACACTGTTCTCCAAAGTGGTTGCACCAGCTTGTATTCCCACCAACAGTGTAAGAGGGTTCCCCTTTCTCCACAGCCTCTCGAACATTTGCTGTTTCTTGCCTTGTCAATTTTAAGCTGTTCTAAGTGGGGCAAGGTGGTATCTCAATGTGGTTTTGGTTTGAATTTCCGTGATGGCTAATGATGTTGAACATTTTTCATGTGTCTTTTAGCCATTTGTATGTCTTCTTTGGAGAAGTGTCTGTTCATGTGTTCTGCCTATTTTTTGACTTGATTATTTGTTTTTTGGGTGTTAAATTTGAGAAGTTCTTTATAGACCTTGGATACCAGCCTTTATCTGTAATGTCATTTGCAATTATCTTCTAGTATTCTGAAGGTTGCCTTTTTGTTTAGTTGACTGTTTCCTTTGCTATGTTGTTAGATTTCATTGCATGAGTAAGTAACTATAGATTTTCTGTGATTCATAATCTTTTTAAATGGCTCGGGATCATTCTTAACTTGCTATGCCCTGTGGCAGTGTAAATACAGGATGTAAATGATTTGGCTGTGTAGCCTGGAGATTTCTTTTTTCAATTATTTATTTGATTAGTCTTTTATTGTGATTTTGTCTCTTTTTCATGGAAATGGAAAATTTCTTCAAATCTTTGAAAATGAATGTTTAATTAGCTGTGTCCTAATTAATTTAGCTTTTAGAGAAGCCTGTTGTCACTGTTAAATACAATTAGTTATATAGGGTGGGGGTTACTCATTTAATGTAATAAACACCTTCAGGTTAAACAGAAAATAAGTTCCTTAGAAATTGTTTTACAGCCTACCTACATAATAAAAGAAATTTCAAGCCAGACATTGGAAGAAATGTCAGAAGATTCAGAAAAGGAAGACTATTCAGACAGAACGATCAGTGATGATGAATCAGTAAGTTTCTCTCAATTTTATTCCACTTAATTTCAGATAAAACTTGTGTTACAAATTCCCAATAAAGTCAGTTGGATGTAAAAATCAATTAGATGTTTAAATCACTTGTCACTGAGGTTGGAAAATAATTTTAAGGCCAAGACATTACTATGTACGGTATGCCTTATCTGGAAAGAGAACCTATATTGATATTTTTGGGGAAATATTTTGGCTAAGGTTCTTCTGAGTTTTACTTAACAGTGTGTTTTAAATCATTACTAAGGTTTTTATAACTCATGTTCAGTTAGATGTATTAATTCTGTTACATCATAACAGGTATCATAATAGTAGATCCCCTATATTCTAAACCTACTGTATATCACCATAATAGGTTTAATGTGGCTCTGATGTAAGAAAGGAAAGGACATGGAGGAAGAAAAAGGGAAAAACAAAATGCAGTATTTCAAAATATTTTTTTAAAGATTTTATTTATTTGACAGAGATCACAAGTAGCCAGAGAGAGAGAGGAGGAAGCAGGCTTCCTGCTGAGCAGAGAGCCCGACACGGGGCTCCATTCCAGGACCCTGGGATCATGACCTGAGCTGAAGGCAGAGGCTTTAACCCACTAAGCCACCCAGGAGCCCCTCAAAATAGTTTAGTTCTATTACATATTTATGAGAGATTTCCTTCAGATTTTAATAAAATATAAATTATCAGGTATATAAGTTAAGGTCCCAAAATAAGCTCCTTCAAATAATGTATCACTCTTTTAAGTCCATGGCTTTCTATGCTGCTTTTCTTTTTCTTTTGGTTAACTTTAATTCATAGTTTAAATTGTTTTGCCAGGTTTACCGAGAATCTTTAAACTTTATTCCCTCTGTATAGTCATTAATATGACCTTACCCAACGAAAGAAGGGGGATGAAAGATGAAAACTTGAAGATTTCGGGGTATTTGAAATATTGCACACTTTGAGACCAGTAGCCCATAATAGTCCTTTGATTTTTTTCATTCATTAAAGAATAGAAAGATGTGCTCAATTCTAAGTACTAAAATAGATGTAAAAAATTTCTGGAAACTGTTGTTTTTTAAAAAAATATCTTAAAACTCTTAAAAATATCTTAAAACTCTCCTGTTTTAGGATGAGGATAACTTCATGAAATTCGTAAGCGAAGATATCCACCAGTGTGCACTTTTAACAGGTTTGAACTTACCCATATATTCTCCTTTCTCTTTAGGGTAAGACCTTGAGTGTTCAAGGAAATGAAGAAACTAGAAAAAATTCAGATTGAATAATACAGAAGTGTATTCTGATATTGGATAAGGAAAGAAAATGTATCCACTTTTATAAGACTCTTTGGAGCTCAAACTTTTAAGGTTTTAGGTAAACCTAATATATTTAAATAAAAGTGGTCACTACTTTATAAAGGAATACACTTAACATAAGGATTTACAGAGGCATTTCTTTAAATAACTTGCTCTTTAAATTTACCGTATGACTCGTTATAATGGACACAGTGTTTTTGAAGTACAGTTTATTTAAATGAAGTATGCCTGTTTAAAGAGTTTCCTTAATAAGTGGTTCATTTGCAAATGCACATATATGTGGACTCTTGATGTATACTTCATTTTTAAAATTTATACATTTAGAGTTGTATTTAGAGGTTTTTTTAGTGTGTATCTAAAATATTTCTTCTAAATATTCACATATGTATCCCAAATAATCTGAAATTGGAGATAAGGCTTTAATTTTTCTTTTTTTCTTTCCTTTTTCTCTTTCTGCCTGCCTTTGTTTGTTTGTTTCTTTCTTTCTTTCTTTTTAACCATCATCCTAAAACAAATCTTTTGAGATACCTACTATTCTCAGTTTGGTATGTATCCTTCTAGACCTTTTTCTTTGCATTTATATACATATCTATACCCATACTCATAGAAAATTTGTAGTACTAGTTTATGGACTTCTTGCCATCCATTTTTTCTTTTTAAAATTTTGCCAGTCTGTCGGAAGAAATGAGGTAACTCACTGTTTTCAACTAACGTTTCCTTTATTGCTGAAGAAATTGAGAACTATTTTATATGCTTGTCTATAGTCACTCTTTTTTTTTTAAGCTTTTATTTATTTATTTGACAGACAGAGATCACAAGTAGGTAGAGAGGCAGGCAGAGAGAGCGAGAGGAGGAAGCAGGCTCTCTGCTGAGCAGAGCGCCCGATGCGGGGCTTAATCCTAGGACCCTGAGATCATGACCTGAGCCGAAGGCAGAGGCTTTAACCCACTGAGCCACCCAGGTGCCCCTATAGTCACTCTTATAATGAATTGCCTGTTCACAGTAATCCTTTTTTAATGTTGCTTCCATTATTTAGAATTATTTTGATGTTAAATTTATCATTTATTTATGGCTCTTTATTTTTAAATCGGTTAAGCTTCCCTACCCCAAGGTCATCAATATAATCATCTAAGTTTTCTCTAAATACATTGAATTTTGGTATTTAATTTCCCTATAATTTACATTTATGAATAATAAGAGATATAGATCTAATTTTATTTCCTAACTCCTAGCTGTCTTGCCATTTTTGAGTCATACCATAAATTAGAATGTGGTCTGTTCACATATTGAAATAGTAGATGCTTAAAACTGTTGCATAAATGGATCTAAATCACAATTCTGAGGAATAGCAAGGGAAGGTGTTATTATTCCTTATTCACATATAGTAAAATTTATGTTCAGCAAGGCTGCATTAGCCAGTCAAAATCGTATAGAAACAAAGTGGTAAAACTCAGTTTGTCTGACTCCTAGTCCAACATACAAAAATAGCTCAAAACTATATCTAGGTAAAAAGCCACATTTGGAGGTAGTAGAACAAGAGGAGTCAGTGAGACAAGTGGAAAACCAAGTATGTGAAAGCTAGGGAGAAAACCGGAAAGTGTAGCATCGTAAAAGACAAGGTACGTGAGCTTAGGGAGGGGAGATTATCCACATCAATTTGATACCCCACAGCTATCCCATTGAAAGAGATAGGGCCTCTGCACTACCTGCTTGGGGCAACCCCATTATATTATATGTGTGTTAATATCTTGATGTTGTGTCACACAGTGACCCTAGAATGAGAATTGAGAGAAAGTTGTGACTGAGAGTTCACAAGCAACCGTTGAGAATATAGAAATGGTGGTGAGGAATTATGGTCATGCGGTGTATTAACCTGTTGGACAGATGGTTGCCTCAGTATGATTAAGTAAGACTACAGTAGGGGTGCCTGGGTGGCTCAGTCAGTTATGCGTCTGACTCCAGCTCAGGTCATTATCTGGGGGGTCCTGGGTCTTGGGGTCCTTGGGTCCAGCCCCACATCAGGCTACATGCTCAGCAGGGAGTTTGCTTGTCCAGCTCCCTCTCCCTCTGCCCCTTCCCTAGCTTGTGCTCTTTCAGTCTCTGTTTCAAATAAATAAAATATTGTTTTAAAAAAAGACTCAACAGGGACGCCTGGGTGGCTCAGTTGGTTGGACGACTGCCTTCGGCTCAGGTCATGATCCCAGGGTCCCGGGATCGAGTCCCACATCGGGCTCCCAGCTCCATGGGGAGTCTGCTTCTCCCTCTGACCTTCTCCTCGCTCATGCTCTTTCTCACTGTCTCTCTCTCAAATAAATAAATAAAATCTTAAAAAAAAAAAAAGACTCAACAGTAGACTGTTGCTAGAAAAGCTGCAAGAAATAAAATGGTTTTGGAGTAGCATCTAGAATTTAGCATAAATTAATAATATCTGAGATCAACAACTACTTTTTAGCTATTGTGAAGATCAACTGTTATAAAATTTTAATAGTAATCTTTTTTAAGATTTTATTTATTTATTTATTTGTCAGAGAGAAAGAGAGAGTGCGCGCACAAGCAGGCAGAGCAGCAGGCAGCGGCAGAGAGAGAAGCAGGCTTCCTGCCAAGCAAGGAGCCCGATGCGGGACTTGATCCTAGGACCCTGGGAACATGACCCAAGCCAAAGGCAGCAGCTTAACCAACTGAGCCACCCAGGCGTCCCTTCAATAGTAATATTATTTTTTTTAAATGGCTTGACTTATAAAATGATATCCATAAATACTCGCAAATTAATGGTATTGGAAGGGGAAAAGGAATATATTTAAAAATTAAAGGAATTGGCGTTTTGCTTCTTATCTCTCATGATTGTGTTTGAATCTTTTTTCAGCTGACTCTATTAGTGACCCATTTTTCCCCCGAACTACTCAGATACTGTTGGAATATCAACTAGGGAGATGGGTGCCACGTCTTCGTGAACCACGAGATTTATATGGTGTCTCTTCTTCTGGTCCGCTGAGCCCAACACGATGGCCGTACCACTGTGAGGTCATTGATGAAAAGGTCCAGCATATCGGTATGTTCTTAGCAGTTTTGGGAATTCAAATATTAGCAAATGAACTTTCCAACCTTAATTTTAATGAGGAGACTCATGGTGTCAGAAGAGAGCATTCCAAGAGGAATATAACATGAGCTATACGTGTCGTTTAAAATTTTAGTGGCCACATTTAGAAAAGGAAAAAGAAACACGTGAAATTGATTTCAAATATGTATTTTATTTAACCCAAATTTATCCAAAGTATTTTATTCTTTTTTTCATAGGAAGTCTTGGAAATCTGGTGTGCACTTACACTTGCACTTTAGCTCCGATCAGCCACATTTCAAGCGTTCAGAAGCCACATGTGCTTAAAAGAGGGACTTAAAACACGTGCCAGGATGTTGTAATTCTAAACAATTCGAAATAGCATGACTGTTCCGGTCACGTCCAAACTCCTGTATAAAGTGAGGTCACGGACAGAGCATGCCAGATGGCTGTGCAGTCTAGCTCCTGTTTTCTCCCTGTCTCTTGCTCCCCCCCACCCCCACTGAATATCTTTCTTCTCTTCTATTTATCTTTATCCTCTTTTGCCTTTCTCCCTCCCTTTTTTCCGCTTCTCTTCCTCTCTTATTTTTTATATCTTTATGCCCCTCTGTCTTTTTTTCTCTCCTTACCTTCTTTCTGCTTCTTTCCTTTAATGTATGTTTTATGGACCCAAAGAGGGCATATTTTAGTGACTATTTTTACATTTCGGTATGTATGCAGTCCCAAATTTAGTTTTCATTCAGTGTGTTTCAGCCTTGTCTTCCCAGTCCTCACACCCAAATAACAGAAACATTTCCATTTCCCATCACATCCTCAGTGCCACTGTTTTTCACTTTGTGTTGATTGTAGCACATACATTATTGCTGGGTGGAGATCTTATTAGACATTCACTAGCGAATAAAATTAAAAAACAGCTATACTTACTATAATTGTCTCTATTAACTATATTGCTTACTTAAATCAGATGCTACTTGGGCATTCTTATAAACTAAGTTAACTCTTTATATCACCTAGTAAACAGAGAAAGAGGGGAAAGGAGAAGTGCCTCTCTCCCTTTCCCTCTCCCCCTCTCCACATATATATGCTTCAGAAGACTTCAAGTCAAAAGTTCTCAGCTGGGTGTTTATGCCCCTCTGGTCATACAGTCAAGGCAGGCCGTCTGATTCTGCAGATGAAAGGCAGCAGTAAGCAAACTGCCCATGGTGGGTACCAGGGGACTTTCAGACTTCAAATAGCACATTATAAATCTTATCTCCTTATCTTGGCCAACTGTCAAAGCTAGATATCCAGACTTTCCCAGCTATAAAAAGAACTTTTCCAGTTCAGCTACAAATGAACGCTGTCCTACACAACCATATATCTTGAAAGTCTTTCCATATTAGCTCATATATACCAGTCTCTTTTTTTTCATAAATTAGTTCATTATAAACAATACTTTTTTTAACTGGTCTCTTATCAGTGAGTTTTAGATGTTTCCAATTTTTGGCTCTGACAAAGAGAACTTCATGAACATTCTTTTATATGTGTCCTAGTGTGTGTGTGTGTGTGTGTGTGTGTGTGTGTATGACAGTTGTAGAGTAAATTTCTGGAGTTTCTGGTTAAAAGGATATTACCAAATTGCCCTTCAAAAGGAACTATAACAATGTACAGTCATAAAAAGTTTGTATGAGTGTGGTTGGTGGTCTTCAAGATTACCCTCAGGTTCAATGATTATAGAAGGACTCCTAGAACTCAAAAAAAAAGAAAAAAAAAGCTATTAAACTCATGGTTTTGGTTTATTACATTGAAATGATACATATTAAAATCATCAAAGTTTAAAAAAAAATCAGCAAATGCAAAAGGGACATAGAGTCTAGGAGAGATCAGGTATAAGCTTCCATTTGTTCCCCCCCGGTAGAGTCTTATAGACAGTGTTTAATACTCCCAGCCACGATGTGATAACACATCTGAGTTTTGCCAGTCAGGAAAGGTCATCCAAGCTTTGGTGTCTATGGTGTCTTTTTGGGGCTAGTCCTATCTCCATGGAGTACCCATATGGCCGGCCTTAGTTACTCAGTCTCTAGCCTTTCCTGTTAAGGCAGATAGCATGTGGTGTAAGTCCCTTTACCATAAGTCACATTGTTAGCATAAATTATCTGGTATGACCCAAAGCCCCAGGTAGACAGATAGACTCTTATTAAGCAGGATATTCCAAAGTCTGAGAAGTTACCTTCTAGGAGTTTCACAAGGGTGAAATCTTTCTTTGGTGTATACAGAGTTTGGACAACCCAGGCCTGCTGAATTAATCCTTTACTACGCAATGAGAGGGCCTGTGTGCCCATAGACTCACAAACACTGTTTAGTTAAACCTGATTTTCAGCAGTCTGATACTGTTTCATATATGTTGTTTTTCAACATGTATATTCTTTATTTATGAGTGACATTGAACATCTTTACATATATGTATTGACTGTTTTAGTTTTTATATTTATTTTATTATGGTAAAAGCACTTAACATGAGGGCTACCCTCAGCAGATGTTTAAGTGTGCAATACAGTACTGTCAGCTAGAGGCACAGAGTTGTTACAGAGCTTATTCATTCTGTATTATTTTTTTATAAGATTTTATTTATTTGACATAGACACAGCAAGAGAGGAACACGAGCAGGGGGAGGGGGAGAGGGAGAAGCAGGCTTCCCGCTAAGCAGGGAGCCCGACGCGGGGCTCCATCCCAGGACCCTGGGGTCATGACTTGGGCCGAAGGTCTCTTAACGACTAACCACCCAGGCACCCCCATCCTGCATTACTGAAGCTTTGAATGTATTGATTAGTAGCTCCCCATTTTCCCCCTCCCATTTGCTCCTGGCCCTGCAACCACCATTGTGCTTTCTGATTCTGAGTTTGACTATTTTAGATACTTTATATAAAGTAGAATTGTGTGGTATTTGTTCTTCTGTGACAGACTGACTTCATTTAGCCGCATGTCCTCAGGGTTCATCCATTTTGTTGCATATGGCAGAATTTCCTTTTTTAGGACTGAATAATATTTTTTTCTCTCTCTCTCTCTCCCTGTGCCCTCTCTCTCTATACCTTCTTTACCTCCCTGCCTCCCTCTCCCTATGTGTGTAGCACATTGTCTTTGTATCATTTATCCCTTGATGGACATTCAGATTGTCTCCACATCTTAGCTATTGTGCACAGTACTGCAATGAATGTGGGCATGCCAGTATCTAATATCTCTTCAAGATCCTAATTTCAGTTCTTTTGGGTAAATACCTAGTGGTTGGACTGCTGGATGATGTGGTCACCTGGGAAATGCAAATTAATACCACATCAAAATACCACTTTACACATACTGGCATAACTGGGGTTGAAATCTGGTAACACGTGTTGATGAGAAATTAAACATATGCCCCCCAAAAAATTACATGTAAGTGTTAATATAGCAACATTATTCTGAATAGCCAAAAGACTACATTTTACCTTTCAACTTAAACTAAGCACTAAGCAATGATGACAGCGTAGAGCATAAGCCGCCGATGGATGTACCATTGGTTGACAGCTTTGCATTGTTAACTAAAACGGAAGCTATGTATGTCCTAAAGTTTAGAATTCCTACCCCAGGATCTACAACCAAGAGGAATGTGGGCACATGTGTTCCAAGGAACATGTATAAAACTTTTCATAGAACCATTGTTCATAATGGCGTCAACCTGAAACGACCTGAATGTCCATTATAAGTAGAAGTGGATAAATAAGTTATAGCATTTTTTTGTAGTAACATATTGCATATCAATGAAAAATGAACAAATTACAGCAACGCTTCACAAGATGGATTGATTTCACAAATATGTGAAAAAAGAGAAGAATGTGTATTATGTAATTCAACTTATATAGGTATAAAAATGGGCAAAACAAAGCTCTAGTTTCATATCAATATCATATCAATATATTTATGCATATATATATGAATACTCAGATTATAAAATTATAAAGGCAGATGAAGAAGCAATTATGTTATGATAAGGTTAATGGTTATAGTTCAAGGGGAAGGAGGAGCAAGTGATTAGAAGGGGGTATGAGTGGGGCCCCTGAGGGGCTGGCAGTGTAATCTTGATCTAAGTGATAGATACTTTGTGATAAAGCACTTCTCATAAGTATAATTCCTCATAAACATTTTGTTTAAATATTTGGTTTATTTCTGGGCATGTGAATTATGGGTAGAAGTATGTTTCAGTAGATTTTTAAAATGAGCACAAGTAATTGGCCAGTTCAGAATAGAATCTGGAAATAGACTAACACATTTAAGACCAAATTATTTTTCATAGAGTCACCAAAGCAATCTGGTGGGTAAGTCTTTTTAATAATTGGTGCTCTAACAACCTGGAGTCGTGTAGAAAAAATAAACCTTGACCTTTACCTTTCTCAGCACACAAAAAAATTAATTCAAGATAGATCACAGGACTAAGCGTAAAAGTTAACATCATAATATTCCTTGAAGAAAACATAGGACAGTATCTTCATAATCAGGATAAGAACAGTTCTAGAGATGACCCAGAAAGAAAAAAGAAATAATGAAAATAAGTTTGACTTCATCAAAATTTAAAACTTCTCATCAAAAGACATAATTAACAAAATGAAAGGGCGAACCACAGTCTAATATTCCCAGCACATATCTGACAAAGAACTTGTATGCAAACTACATGAATAATTCCTCAAACCAATAATAAAAAGAAAACTAACTGAAAATGGGCAAAAGAGTTGAACAGACATTACATTGCTCAAAGGAAGACATATAATGGCTAATAAATGAGGAAAAGTGTTAAACATGGGAAATGAAAATAAAAAATCACAGAGAGATACCACTTGATACTAGAATGGCAAAATTTTTAAAAATTTTAAAGGCTGATAACTGCAAATATTAAAATATAGAAAAACTGGAACCCTAACACATTGTTGGCATAAGTATAAAACTGTAAAACCACTTCGAAAAAAGATTCAGCACTTTGTTTTCTTTTTAATAAAAGAAAACATACATCTATGTATTTGTCAAAACTCATTGAATATACAGTTAAGATTTGTACATTGCATTATATGTAATATGTAAATTTAACTAAATTTAAAAAAATAGCCACAGGGGTGCCTGGGTGGGTCAATGGGTTAAGCCTCTGCCTTTGGCTCAGGTCATGATTTCAGGGTCCTGAGATCAAGCCCCACATTGGGCTCTCTGCTTAATGGGGAGCCTGCTTTCCCCTCTCTCTCTCCCTGCTGCTCTGCGTACTTGTGATCTCTCTGTCTGTCAAATAAATAAATAGAATCTTAAAAAAAAAAAAAAAAGCCACAGTTCTTCATCCATGTATCTTCACCCTTTGTAATGTCATCTTGCATCTCCTGCTATCAAGAAGTGTCCTCTTTTCCCCATCCCTTGAAATGGGATGGACTGTGATTTGCTTTAGCAAAACCAAGTGTGGCATAAGCAATAGCATGTCATTATTGACCTCTAGCTTGCTGGATGGTTGAAAGAGAGAAAGCCTGCATAGGTAGGCCCTGCATAAAACACTAAATATTAGCCTGGATATACCAATGGATAATTTGAAAACATGCAATAAAAAATTTCCTGTTTTATTTTAAGTAGTAGTATTCAAATCAAGTTTTCTCTTTGTTTTTCCAGATTGGACTCCTCCTTTTCCTGAGCCAGTGTACACCCCAACAGGCCTAGAGATGGAACCCCTTTATCCAAACTCCAAGGAAAACACTGTAGTTTATCTAGCTGAAGATGGTGGGTACATAATGAAACATGTTGCTCTAAAATATAATTTGGTACCTAGATTCATCCCTTAATTATATTTGTTTTGCTATTTATAATGGAAACTGCAGATTACCAGGAAGTCCCTTTCTCCATCACAATGTTTGATTACAGACTGACTGAAATCTGGACTCAGTGCTGATTATATTCTTGACGGTGTATGGCAATTTATGCAAAGTTACTTTAAAATAGAACCTATGGCCCACTACAATGGAGAGTTATATTTAGAAGGAATTATGCTTCACATCAATTTTCTTTTTTTTTTTTTTTAAGATTTTATTTATTTATTTGACAGACAGAGATCACAAGTAGGCAGAGAGGCAGGCAGAGAGAGAGGAAGGGAAGCAGGCTCCCTGCTGAGCAGAGAGCCCAGTGCGGGGCTCGATCCCAGGACCCTGTGATCATGACCCGAGCTGAAGGCAGCAGCTTAACCCACTGAGCCCCCAGGCGCCCCTTCACATCAATTTTCAAAGATGAACCCACTGGAGCGTTCTACAACTATTGCTGCTGCTCTATTTATAGGTCACATTCATGCAATCTGTCAGGTGACCTTTTTACTTCATGCCAGTTTGATAGTTTCTTGAGATTTCATCATTAAAAGGGAAGATACCCCACACTGCAAGTAACATCTAAGATTGTATCTCCGGAAAGTTTTCTTTTTTTTTTTTTTTAAAGATTTTATTTATTTATTTGACAGATAGAGATCACAAGTAGGCAGAGAGGCAGGCAGAGAGAGAGGGGGAAGCAGGCTCCCTGCTGATCAGAGAACCCAATGCAGGGCTCGATCCCAGAACCCTGAGATCATGACTTGAGCCGAAGGCAGAGGCTTAACCCACTGAGCCACCCAGGTTCCCCACCGGAAAGTTTTCTTAACAGTCAGGATCAATATTTGTACTTGGAGAACCCTAGGAACGCGAAATCTCATATCCGCTTTAGGATAGTATGCTAACAAACATAGATGTCTCAGCCGATAGCCTAACCTTTGTAAGGAAGTATGGGACTCCTGCACAGTTGCACTGTCAGAGTTCTATTTCTTAAGATAACTTCCAGGGAACATATGTATTTTATCTAAAGGGCTTGCAAAACAGAAGAATTTATAAGGATTGTTTCCTATATAGTAAACAATTCTAGAAATCCTATACTCATATATTTTTTAACAACTAGGGTAAAGACGCGCATCTCTGATTTTTTAAATTTAATTTCAAATATTTACGTGGCTAACCTGTCTTAGAACTTCCACACATTTCAATTCTGTGTGTGTGTATGTATATATATACACACACACATATTTTTATACATATATATATACATATATACACATATATTTTTATACATATATATACACATACACACACACACATACATACATTTTTTTTTTCAAAGTCTCCTGTTAATCCCAACATCTGGGTTATCTTGGGGATTGTTGAAAATGTGTGTGTGTGTGTGACCATAGATCACATTTTTCCTGCTTTTCTTCATAATTTTAAATTATAATTTAATTTAATTTAATTATAATTTAATAATCTTCATAATTTTCCTGCTTTTCTTCATAATTTTTCCTAATCCTATGCAGGACATTGTGAAAGATATGTAGTAGGAGTCTGTATTATGTTCTTTTAAAAAATTATGCCAAATTTTGTTCTGGTAGGCAGCTAAGTTGCTGGCAGATTATTTTGCTTCTTTCAGGTTTGGTTTTATTTTTTTAATTTACTTTTTTAAATTTTATTCATTTATTTATTTGAGAGAGAGAGAGAGAACATGGGGAGCAGTGGAGGGAGAGGGAGTGGGCTCTGTCCCAGGACCCTGAGATCATGACCTGAGCCGAAAGCAGACTCTTTCTGAGTCACCCACCCTGGTTTTATTTTATTTTATTTTTTAATAAGGACAGATCTATTTTCATTTTGTCTTAGTCATTTAGTCCTAGGTCATTGTCCTTGCCCCTGGATGTGGTACTTACACCTAACATGCAGCCTTTCTGGAGCCGTGATTGAGTGGCTGAGGTATTCAATGAAGTCTTTCCATTCTGAATGGTTTAGAATTACAGTATATTCCAGAATGGTATATCTGATATCTCAGCCCCACAGTAACACTCTCTTACCTTGTTGAGTCTCACCCTGTGCTTCTACAGCCAAGCCCCCAGCCAAGGACTGGGGAACCACCATGTAGACTGTTGAGGCCCTTCGTCTATGTAGCTTTCTTCTCCCTGGTGTCCTGCCTTAGACATTTCAGCAGCCCCACGCAACTTCCTTGCCTCCTCAGCTCAGCAAGACTGCTCCACTGCTATCCGTAAGTGCCACCCTTTTAAGATGTAGTCAGACGGTGTTCCCAGGAAGAAAGCCAGGGTTAGACATGGCCTTACTTGATGTTTTTTTTTTTTTTCAAACCCTCTGTATAGTTCTAGTCTATATGTTATCCAGATGTGTGAAAACAGCTTATTTTCTTTGGCCCAGCTTTATAGCTACTTATAGTGGAAGGGCTAGTTCAGATCCAATTACTCCATAATAATCAGAAGCAGAATAAATATTTTTAATGTGAGAAAAGTACATGAATTTATTTTGGGCATTGCTTTTCCAGTCTGAATACACTTAGACTTTCTTATTTCAACAAATCTGTATATTAGTGGCAAATTACTTTAAAATTTAAAATCCTTAGTGACACTTCAGTTAGAACGTGTTTCCAAATTCTATGCAGAATAATCTGTATACTTTTTTTTTTTTTAAAGATTTTATTTATTTATTTGACAGAGAGATCACAAGCAGGCAGAGAGGCAGGCAGAGAGAGAGGAGGAAGCAGGTTCCCTGCTGAGCAGAGAGCCCTATGCGGGGCTCGATCCCAGGACTCTGAGATCATGACCTGAGCCGAAGGCAGCGGCTTAACCCACTGAGCCACCCAGGCGCCCCTGTAATCTGTATACTTTAGACACTGCTTGACATTACGGTCTTCTTCTGCCATCAGCTTACAAGGAGCCCTGTTTTGTGTACTCCCGAGTAGGGGGTAACCGAACACCCCTGAAGCAGCCTGCGGACGACTATAATGATACTTTGACGTTTGAAGCAAGGTTTGAGAGTGGAAATCTGCAGAAGGTAGTCAAAGTGTAGGTTTTAATTATTTTTATTTGAAGAGCTAGACTGTCAGCTGTTTATTGTTTCCTGTATTAGGTACATTAAAGTTGTAGTAGTCCTAAATGAACTGCAGTTCGCTGAGGTATGATGCCAATTGGAGATGATTTTAAAGGGGGTACAAAAGGTTCACATTCTGGACTCACTCTGAACTTGAGTCAAACAGGTTTCTGTACTGTACATTTTGTTAAAGATTTTATTTATTTATTTGACAGAGATCACAAGTAGGCAGAGAGGCAGGCAGAGAGAGGAGGAAGCAGGCTCTCTGCTCCGCAGGGAGCCTGATGCGGGGCTTGATCCCAGGACCCTGGGATCATGACCTGAGCAGAAGGCAGAGGCTTTAACCCACTGAGCCACCCAGGCACTCCTGTACTGTACATTTTTAATACACCAGTATGAACTGTCCTAGAGACACATGCACACTGCTTCTCAGACTTTTTAATGGAATAATATTTGAGATGAATGTTCCATTAGATATGTTTGGGAACATGAATCTATCCAAAGGCATTCTTTAAGAGATTTTTTACTATAAAAAAACTTAAGTACAGAGAATAATACAGTTTTCCATTAACCATCATCTACCCATCACCTAGATGCAACTACTATGGTTTTGCATTATTCACTTCACCTAGTCATAGGTCACTGTTGATAACACATACACACAAAGGAAGTACATAGTGCTGATGGAATAGGTTACTTTACAAGTGAAGACTTTACTTGGTAAAGTCACAATGACCCCAGTAAGATCGTGTGTGTATATGTGTAGAAAACAAATGTACCAGTAAAATTATTTTTACCTTTAAGTAATTTCAGTGACTAAGTATGGGGAATGCAAATAGTTAGTAAAGACAGTCCTCGAAGAGTTTCAAATTTTTTAATTTATGTGGTTGTATTAACTTATGTGTTTTAAATCTTTCTCAGTGATAGTATCTCAGATCCCTAGAGTTTGAATCTAATAGAAAACAGGAATATATATCTGAAGTTAAAAAAGGAACATTGGACTTTAATTCAGTTTCAAGAGCACTTTAATCACTTCTTTTATAGGAAACATAATTGGGTTGAAATATAGACTTTTTTATCAAATGTCCATTTTAATGTACTCTCCTGATTTACAAAAAAAAAAAAAGGCTTTAGAGAATTAACACAGAAGCAGTGTCACATCCAATAAAAAAGAAAATTCCAAAATTTTTATCTTTTACAATTACTTGCTATTGGATGCTGCCTAAATAAACAGCTTCAGGGGAAAAGGCTTTCTGTGAACAGGTAAAAGTAAAATAATTTTCCTATTTAATTTAAACTTGAATGTCATTTTTACATTTTTATGTGTTTCTTTTTTCTTCCTTTCCTTGTATTAGGGCAGAATATGAGTACCAGTTGACCCTGCGCCCTGACCTCTTCACAAATAAACACACCCAGTGGTACTATTTCCAAGTCACTAATACCCAACCAGGAATAGTCTACAGATTCACTATCATTAATTTCACTAAGCCTGCTAGTCTTTACAATCGGGGTATGCGCCCACTGTTTTACTCTGAAAAAGAAGCTAAGACTCATAATATTGGCTGGCAGAGAATAGGAGACCAAATCAAGTATTACAGGAACAACCAAGGACAAGAGGGGCGCCATTATTTCTCTCTCACATGGACATTTCAATTCCCACACAACAAAGACACCTGCTACTTTGCTCACTGCTATCCATATACTTACACCAACCTGCAAGAATACCTTTCTGCTATCAATCACGACTCCGTACGGTCCAAGTTTTGTAAAATACGTGTCTTGTGCCACACAATGGCTAGGAACATGGTGTATGTATTAACGATCACCACTCCCTTGAAGAACACTGACTCAAGAAAGCGAAAGGCTGTGATTTTGACTGCAAGGGTCCATCCAGGAGAAACCAACAGCTCTTGGATCATGAAAGGCTTCCTAGATTATATTTTAGGAGACTCGAGCGATGCGCAGTTGCTTCGGGACACTTTCATCTTCAAGGTGGTACCCATGCTGAATCCAGATGGTGTGATTGTGGGAAATTATCGTTGTTCCTTAGCTGGACGAGATTTAAACCGTAACTATACATCTCTCCTGAAGGAATCCTTTCCTTCTGTGTGGCATACCCGGAACATGATACATAGGTAAAATAAGCCTCGAATTACCTCTCTGCTTATTTAGTAAACTTGGTAGTGAGATTTTCGCTCCTACCATCCCATTCCTTTTACTCTAGCTTTTAAGGTCGCTTAACTGATAGTTTAACTATAGCTACTTAATTTTTTCCCATTCTCTCCACTCTTCTCTCTGGCTTTATGCCACTGGATTCACTAGCCTTTTCTTAAATAATGAATAAACTTCTGGAACATTTTAATTGCTTTGTGAAACTAATAGTGAAATTCCATTATCCCAAATCTGGTTTCTTGCTAAAGGTGACGCTGATACTTAGTTTGGGATGCTTGAATCTCTTACACGTGGAAATTAATTCTGTCTCACAGGGCTTCCTGGCGCTATGTTGATCGTACATTGCTCTTTGATGAGGCTTTTTTTATTGTTTTTAATTTTAATTCCAGTATGGTTAGCATACAATGTTATATTAGTTTCAGGTGTACAATATAGTGATTCAACGATTCTGTACATTACGTAGTACTTATCATGATAATTGTACTCTTTATTAAGATAAGTCTTGGGGCATCTGGGTGGCTCAGTGGATTAAGCCTCTGCCTTCAGCTCAGGTCATGATCCCAGGGTCCTGGGATCGAGCCCCACATCTGGCTCTCTGGAGAGCTCAGTGGAGAGCCTGCTTTCCTCCTCTCTCTTCCCCACCCCCCTCTCTCTCTCTCTCTGTGATCTCTGTCAAATAAATTTTAAAAATCTTTAAAAATGAAAAGATAAGTCTTTTTGACTATCAGGTTACATAGTCATTAAAACTTTGATAAATAGTCTTATTTCCCCCAGAAAAAAATTAAATAGCTTTAAATTTTCCAAAAAACCCAGAACAGTAAATGCGCATAGTATTTAAATATTTGTTGAGTGGGTGAATTCTTTAATAGTTTCAGGTGATAACAGCCAAAAATAGGCATGTGCTAGAGCAAAAAGATTTATTAGAGTCACAACCCCATTCCCAGTCCAAAGCCCCCTAGCCTTTTTGGCTAAGAGAGTGGATTGGAGTTAAAATATCAGATTGGAATCCTACTATATCATTTACTAACAACCATTTTTTGCCTTCCCAGATATGTGACCTTGAGCAATTTAAAAGCAAATCTAAACCTCAGTTTTCTCTTCTATCAAATGGTAATAATAATACTTAGAGGCAGGAGGATTAAATGAGAGAATCATTAATAAAGTGCCCAGAATAAAATATGGAGCATTGAAAGCTCTAAATGTATTTAGTGTTAAGTAAAAAGTTGTTAATGAATCAGATATAGATGTAAAAACTCTTTGTAAACTCTTCAGGATTATTCAAATATTTACAGTAATAAGTACTATTATACAGAGTGTTTATATCCTGATCCCAGGGTTACCAGAACCCCCAGTGTAGGTACAAGAACCCTGTTTCAGGGCTAAGGCCCTCAAGGATACCTCCAGTCCGTCAGAGTTGCTGACAGGCTTCAGAAGTACCTAGAAGCATGGCCCCAGCTGTCTCAGTTCAGCCTCAACTTTCACTTCCACGTTAATCCTTTTATCTGCTTACACAGGGAGGGAGTGAAATGCAGATCCCCACAGAAAGGACTGAAAACTGTTGTTTCCATACCCATCACAAACATGGACTCCAGGATTCCCTGCAATTATCTGAGAAATGTTAAGTGATAAAAACAAAAAACAGAAACAAAAAAACCACCCATGACTTCTTTATGTAACTGAGGATGGCAAACAACAAAAAGACAGTGAAGTGCAATGTGGTATCCTAGATTGGATTCTGGGACAGAAAAGGTATTAGTGGCAAACTAGCGAAATCCAAGTAAGATTGGGAGTTTAGTTACTAGTGATGAACCAATGTTGGTTTCTTCGTTTTTGAACACTGTACCATGGTTATTGAATCTGTTAACATTAGGGAAAATGGGGTGAGGGATATATGGAAACACTCTTACTATTTTTTGCAAATTTTCTGTAATCTAAAATTATTCCAAAATTATATATATATATATATATTTATATATATATATATCATATATATAAATATCAGTTTAGTTTCCTTTTATATATATAAAAGGAAACTGATTAGCAATATCTATATCTACTTAGTGCTCTTTGACTTTAAGGGTCCCTGGTCCAACACAAGATGGAATATAGGCCAAGGCCCTTTGGCTTGTCTCTATGGAAAATACTTTAAATGTCTCCATTCTCAGATTGCCTTGTAAGAAGGTTAAGGTAGGAATCCATTCAGTTAGTTTCGGAAAGACTTCCAAGAAAGAAAACTACCTTAATGCAATTAATCATAGTTAGGTAAGAATAAAAAGTCACATGTGTTGGAAGGCAAGCAGCTAAGATTTAGTATATTTAAAGAATATGAGAATTTAAAAAAAAAAAAAAGAATATGAGAATAAAGAAAGAGTGGATTTTAGTATAGGATGCTTAGTATAAGACACTTAGACTATCTTAACCTGTGGGTAAGAAAAAAGACCCAAGCTATTTCTCAGGTGATTTAAATTCATGTGAAATTAGACCCTTTGGAAGTAATGAGATATCTTTGGGAATTACTGAGAAGTTTATTCTGATTTACCTGTAAGAAACTGAAAGATCATTAAAACTGGGGAAATGCCAGCTAAAAAATGTTCAGCATATTTCATATTTAAGGCCCTAACGTGATAATCTTGCTTTATAATCCACTTCTAAAAACTTAAAATGATATTTTAGTGGCTTTATGTCAGTCTTGTGTTATCAATTAGAATTTATTGGGCACCAAATAAGAAAAGGGCAGTCAATTAATACATGTAACAGACCTCACTTTGAATATTTTGATTTTAGGTTTTAATGTTTTTGTTATGAAAGTAATACATTTCATATTACTACAAATACCATTGCTAACATTTTTGTATTTATCCTTCCAGATATAACAAATAGTGTATGTAATATTGGTTAAGTAATATAATGCATAAAGTTTAGAAATATGAAAAAAGGCAAAACCCATCATTCTACCACCTTAATACCACTTTTTTTTTTACCTTTTTAAAGCCTCTCCACTAGTTTTCTTTTTTTTTTTTTAATTTATTTATCAGAAAGAGAGAGAGAGCACAAGTAGGCAGAGGCAGAGAGAGAAGCAGGTTCCCCACCGAGCAAGGAGCCCAATGCAGGACTCGATCCCAGGACCCTGGGATCATGACCTGAGCTGAAGGCAGCTGCTTAACCGACTGAGCCACCCAGGAATCCCTAGTTATTTCCACCAATCAGTTTGGGGGCTTATTTTATTTTTTTTAAGATTTTATTTATTTATTTGTCAAAGAGAGAGCCTGGCAGGCAGAGGGAGAAGGAGAAGGCTCCCCGCTGAGCAAGAAGCTGGATATGGGACTCAGTCCCAGGACCCTGGGATCATGACCTGAGCCAAAGCCAGACACTTAACTGACTGAGCCACCCAAGCATCTCTGGGGGCTTATTTTTTATTGCTTGAATATTGATCATGTGCCTAAGTTATACAAGCTAAGAATTGTGCTCCTAAGAAATGTGTAATAATTTCCTTATTTATTAGAAATTTACCAGAAAAAAATTCAAATTTTGGTACCATTTTTCTCACTTTAATCAAGGGTCGTATAATAATTGGTTCAGCACCAGGTTGTCAGGTTCTCAATTTTTAACAAATATTTGGATACTTGTGTGCATACCACTGTTCTAGATGATTTGAAGCATTTCTTACCCTTAACAAGATTAAGTATCAAAAATATGAAGACTTTCCAAGGTGAGTCTCAAACAAATGGTACCAATATTATGTGCTATAGGACTTCAAAAAAAGAAGAACCTGTGGCCTTCACTAGTCAGGAAATGAGACATGAAGTCAGCCTTGAGGGATGAGGGGCAGTATTTGCACTCATAGAAATGAAGAAAGAAGGTATTGGACTCAGAAAGAGTCTCTCTGAAAGCTAATGGGCAAAGTAGGAGTGAGCTGTTTCCTTTGTACGATGGAAAACCAGAATAATAAAGCAGAGGGATCCTGTTGGAGAGTCTTGGGAGTAAGGCAAATTTTGTCCTTGTAATGGAAGGTAAGCATTCATATTTTATATATAGCTAATGGGAAATTATTATAGATGTCTTAAAATTATTAAGAATATACGGTCAGGATAAGAGAAAGAAAGAAAGGATATAAGAAATTCTATTTATTTGGATAGTAGACTTGTAAATCCATAGAAAAATGCAGAGTTAAAATTTAGTAACTCCTTGTAACTTACTCTTTTTTTTTTCTCGGTAGATTGATGGAGAAACGAGAGGTTATTTTATATTGTGACCTTCATGGCCATAGTAGAAAAGAGAACATCTTCATGTATGGCTGTGATGGTAGTGACAGGTGTAAGGCATTATACTTACAGCAACGGATCTTTCCACTTATGCTGAGCAAAAATTGTCCAGATAAAGTAAGACCATTTAAAATTTTTAACTTTTTCTTTATTACGTGTTGCCCACCTGAGACTGCAGAATAGATCACCTTATTCGGTAAATTGCTTTTTTATTGAGTTCTTTTGATTGGTTTATACAAATGACCATAAAAAAGCAACTATATGGAATGTTTAGTGACCAATAATTTGAAATGTGAAGAAAAAAAATGTGCCTTATCCTACCACTATACCTAATGATAAAAGACTGTTTTCCTCCCAAGGTCAGGTACAAGGCCAGGATAGCCACCCTCACCCCTTAATATTCAGCCTTGTGCTGGAGGTTCTAAGTGCTGAAAGGCAAGAGAAAGAAAGAAAAGGCAGACACTTCGGAATAAAGGGGACATGACTGCCTTCATAGAAAACCCAAAGTAATGCACCAGAAACCCTCCTAGAACTAACAAGTGAGTTTAGCAATGTCCTACCTGACAAGGTCCCCCCTCAGAAATGAACTACACTTCTATATACTCACAGTGAATGTTGGAAAACAAAACTGAAAACGGTGCCGTTTACTGTAGCTTCAAAATGAATACTTGTGACTGCAAAGAAATAAGGGAGTTTTTTAGAGGTGATGGAATTGTCCTATATCCTGATTTGCGATAGTGGCTACACAAATCTATACATGTGTCAAAGTCCTAGAATGCAACACAATTTAATTTTATTGTAAATTTTAAAAATTGCAAAAACTTTGAGACTAACGTTATAACAGTCTTTCAGGACAACTTTCCAGTGATCGAGCTTGTGAAAATAAAGCATCCTTGTCTTATTCAAAACATCTACATTAATCTTTATTCCTAAACATATTTAAGCCCTTTCCTGTAAGTTTTTTAAAGTATAAGAGCTTATTCCAACAGTATCAAGAATTAATCCGTGGTTTTTGAATGCATATGTTACATATAAAAAGTAAAATTTATTGCCAGTGTTTTCAAATCTGTACTTCTGAGAAATGTAAATATATCATCCTTAAAATGTTATTTCCTCTGGTTTGGAACTAAAAGCAGCCCCTGAAGCTTTAGAGAGAATTACTGCATATGTACTACTTTCTCTTTTTCAACCCTACTTCCTGAGAAAGACATTGTACTCAGGAAAACACATTTTCTCATTTTTATTTGCTTCTTTTTAGTTTTCATTCTCAGCTTGCAAATTTAATGTTCAGAAGAGCAAAGAGGGCACAGGAAGGGTAGTAATGTGGAAAATGGGAATCAGGAACAGCTTTACCATGGAGGCTACTTTTTGTGGATCTACCCTGGGTAAGACCAAGTGTTCTCATTCACGGCTCTCAGAGCTTTAAGCCAAGGGAAATTTTTTTTTCAAGATTTTATTTATGTATTTGACAGAGACACAGCAAGAGAGGGAACACAAGCAGGGTGAGTGGGGGAGAGAGAAGCAGGCTCCCTGCTGACCAGGGAGCCCTATGCGGGGCTCAATCCCAGGACCCTGGGAACATGACCTGAGCCAAAGGCAGATGCTTAACAACTGAGCCACCCAGATGCCCCTAAAGAAACCTTTTTTAATGTGATATTAATAATGTGGATAATGTGATAGTGGGCACTTTCTTCCCACTTACATGCATGCTGGTGTCCAATCGCTTCTATATATAGGATGAACAAACTATACCACTCTGTGTATCTCCATCTCACCATTTCCCTTTGTTTAGGAAACAAAGTGTTAGACTATAGCTAGAATACCCAATTGGTTATTTAATGATCTAATAAATACTTTTGCTTTTTAATTAATTACTTTAATTACTTTTGCTTTTAAGAAGGAGTCCGTACAGATGACTCAGGATTTCAAGAAAAAGCAATGCTCATGCTTAAAATACCAGGATAGAAATGTTTTTGGTGGGGACGCCTGGGTGGCTCAATTGGTTAAGCAGCTGCCTTCGGCTTGGGTCATGATCCCAGCGTCCTGGGATCGAGTCCCACATCGGGCTCCTTGCTCGTCAGGGAACCTGCTTCTCCCTCTGCCTCTGCCTGCCATTCTGTCTGCCTGTGCTCGCTCTCTCTCCCTCTCTCTCTCTGACAAATAAATAAATAAAATCTTAAAAAAAAAAAAAAGAAATGTTTTTGGTGGATTTGCTATTTACAAGTCAAAGTAGACTGGGTGTGTTGGGGTTCTTTGAGAGAGTAAATATATATTTTAATGGAAGTACTTGGTTCCTTTAACTAAAAATAAAAGCATGCTCTCTAGTCCCATTTAAGAAATTTTTTTTTTAAGATTTTATTTATTTATTTGACAGAGAGATCACAAGTAGGCAGAGAGGCAGGCAAAGAGAGAGGGGGAAGCAGGTTCCCTGCTGAGCAGAGAGCCCAATGTGGGGCTCAATCTCAGGACCCTGAGACCATGACCTGAGCCCAAGGCAGAGGCTTAACCCACTGGGCCACCCAGGCACCCCTCATTTAAGAAATCTTTTTTATTTTTTAAGATTTTATGTATTTATTTGACAGAGAGAGATCACAAATAGAGAGGCAGGCAGAGGGGGAGAGGGAAGCAGGCTCCCTGCTGAGCAGAGAGCCCGATGTGGGGCTCCATCCCAGGACCCTGAGATCATGACCTGAGCTGAAGGCAGAGGCTTAACCCACTGAGCCATCCAGGCGCCCCTAAGAAATGTTTTAGTCACATCTAGTTGACCCTTAGAATACTCCATATTAAGAAAATTGTTACATTTTTAGAAAATTTATTGACTCAAAGGAAAGCGCTAGAAATCCACACATATATTTTCTGTCTTTTAAAGCGCCTTGAAACTGATATAACACTATCTATGATGATGAAAACATTAAAATATTTACCCAAGGTTTTCACTAAGTGATTATGAGTGTGTTTATAACTGGTAACCAAGTATTCCATAATTTCTTACTCAATTTTCTTCTGCCTTACGACATAGACTATTATGTGTTAAGTCAGCTTTCATCCAGATGCGGAGAGAAGAGGGAAAGCAGTAAGCTGTTAAATGACCTGCCCCAAAGAAGATAATCCAAAGGACAGGATATAGAATCATATCAGATATTTTGTTTATTTATACTTTCTGCTTTACAATTTAGGCCCACCTGTTAAGGACAAATGATTAACTCATCCTCAATGGTGGATAAACTTATTAATGTTTTAGGTAATAAACGGGGCACTCATTTCAACACAAAAGACTTGGAGTCAATGGGATATCATTTTTGTGATTCTCTCTTGGACTATTGTGATCCAGACCGAACCAAGGTAAGCAAAGTCCATTTGGTAATGCATCAAACTCAAGTTTATGAGATAACATAACCTAAGGGTCTATGGCAGTTTTTTGTTTTGTTTTGTTTTGTTTTAATATCCTAACAGTGTTTGAGGTTTCTGGTACTTGATATCCCCATAGCTATTGTTGCAGGGGTCTATAAATATTCAATTCATTTAATTAGGAAATAGAGTTAATTTGTAATTTATCATTTTCCCCTAGTATTATCAGTGCCTGAAAGAATTAGAAGAAATGGAAAAACATATAAATTTGGAAAAAATCCTTGAGGATTCAGATACTTCTCTGAAAGAAATGACACTGGATCTAGACTCTAGGTAAGCCAAGATGGCGGATAGAACATAATTTGTTGTGCTGTGTTTCTGTGCTCTTTATAGTAACAGGAGGATATAAAATTCTCAGTCTCAACTGAAAATCCCAACTATAGGTGGAGGAAAATTTCTTCCACACATTTTACTTTGCTCCAACTTCATTAAGACTTCAGTTATTGACTTGAGTAATATTAATTGAGCATCTATTATGTCTCGTACATGAAAGACATACTCAAATTGTTTTTAATGCTGACATTACCCACAGAGAATTGACGCATTTATAGAGATGCCACATACATACTCTAAATCAGCAAATGATAAATGCAAAATTTAATGCAAAGGAAATGTTGTTGGAAGAATGAAGGTGCTAATTTTGTACAGCTTCCTATAGGAAAAACAGAACAAATGTTTGATTCCTTTCCTTTATTTATAAATTTTCAGGCTTTGATTAGTGCCCCTGCACCTCCAGAGGTGACTAATAAGTTTGTTTGTGGCAGGAAAGTATCATTTTGAACTCATGGATTTGTTTCTATTTGATGTGTTCCAATTTCAGTCATTTTTCTTCTAATACTCTGAGATGCCTAGAACTATGACATCTACACTTTGTAATATTTGCAAATTTATTTGTAATGTTTACCTTTGTAAACATTCTTCTTAAAATTAGAACATTTCTACCATTTCAATAATATGGTAAAAACAACAGCTAAAATTTTAAAATGCCGCCAAAATATTGTTGTTTATTATTATTTTTAATACTCATAATATAGATCAAATTAATAAATCGATCATTGTAAATGTGACTAAATATAAATATGAATAATAATGAAAATAACGTAATTATTATATCAAAGTTATTTATTATTCTTTCTTGCAGTAGCCGAGGCTCTGACAGTTCAGAATCCAATGAGTCTCAGACTTATCTTCTCAAGTTGACTTCTCAGGTATGATTAAGAATCTCTGCCTGTGGTAAGGATGTATTGAATGGGTACTCTCCTTACTGTGACTAACAATCAGACAAAAATACGCTTGCAGTTACGTAATTATTGTATAGCAGTAACTGTTACTTCCTGATTAGGTGACATTATCTCTAAATCATAGAATTTTCTATCCTTAGGATTTGTAAACCCTTACTTTAAAGATCCAGAGAACGAGCTTCTCAAAAGCCACATCATCTGTAAATGAGAGTTAACATAAGTAGCATAACATAACATACATCACCTGACTACAAATTCAATGTCCATTTATTCTTTTATTTAACAACTATATATTGAGCTTCAGCTATGTGTTGGGGATAGAGCAGTGGAAAAAAATGAGACAAAAATCTTCTTTCATTGCTTTTATTCTAGTTGGTGGAAATAAAGAAATGATGAGAAATAAGTAAAATATTTGCTGTATCAGGTCATGGTAAGTGCATAAGAAGGAAATTAGAAGAGGAGGAGGAGGAGGGAGTTCAAGTGGTGTTACGTACTGAATGTTTATGCCCCCACCAAATACACAGGTTGAATACCCTCAATGTGATGGTATTAGGAGGTGACTAAGACAAGTGACCACGACAAACTGAGACACTGCTCTCTTAGGACCGAGTGTGCGATGCTGCTGTGACAACATCTAAAAATGTGGCGCCGGCTTTGGAACTGGATGATGGGTAGAGGCTGGTAGAGTTTTGAAGTGCGTGTTACAAAATGCTGATATTGCCATGAAGGCACTTCCAAAGGTGACTCTGGTAAGGGCTCAGAAAGGAAAGAAGGGGAGCAAGTGTCCATCTTCTTAAAGAATACACAAATAATCATGTACAGAACCTTGGTAAAAATATGAACATTAAAGGTAATCTTCATGAAGTCTCAGAAACAAACATGTTATTGCCTGATGGAGAAAATTTTAATCCTGACTATAAAATGGTCAAAAATTTGGCTGAATTGTGTTTGTGTTCTATTGTGTTATGGAAGATAGAACTTGTGAGTGATAAAATTGGATATTTAGCTGAAAAGATTTATTTGTAAAGTGTTGAAGAGCAGCTTGATTCCTCCTGACTGCTTATAGTGAAATGCAAGGAGAGATAAGAAGGAATTGTTAAGCCAAGAGGAACCAGAGGGTGAAGATTTAAGAAATTCTCAGCCTGCAGTATTACAAAAAATAGGAACGTGTGTTCAGAAGAGAAGAGTAAGGGTGTGAAGATCACCTGATTGTTAAGCAGGTTAGTGTGAGTATGAACCACAGAACTAATCAGCCACCCCATCAGGAAAACTGCCAGTTTGAACTAAAGCAGTGAGAGAGAGGACAGAATGAAGGAAGGGTTTACAGTATGGTACCATAGGTCTATTTGCAAAAGCGCAATGTTCTGCAAGACAAGAGAAAAAAAAAGGCCTCAGAGGTAACTAAGAGCTCATTCAGGCCACCACCACCTAGATTTCAACAAGCTAGAGGATAAATGGCCTTTAATGGAGGCCATGGAGGCAGGCTGCCTGGAGCCGCGGGCCGCATCATGGGCAGTGCCCTGGCAGAGAGCCGCACAGGAGCAGCAGCCTGCCGAGCTGCAGGACGATGTTGCCACCTCAGTGGGTCCAGATGACAGAGCATTGAGCCAGAGAGGATGAGTGTTGAGCCCTAAGATCTTGTTGAGTTTGCCTTGCCAGATTTTGAGTTTATTTGGGACCCATCGCCCTCTCTTTCTTTTCTGACTCCCCCTTTGGGAATGTCTGTCCTGTGCTATCCCACCGCTGTATTTTGGAAACACATAACTTGGAATGGGATGGGATGGAATGAATGTATTTTTCATGAGAGAAGGACTTGAATTTGGTGAGCCCAGGGACAGAATGCTATACCTGAATATTTCTATCTCCCCCCAATTCATATGTTGAAATTATAATGCCCAATATAATAGTGTTAGAAGGTGGGCCCTTTGGGAGGTGATTAGGTTATGAGGCCAGAGCTCTCTGGATGATTTAGTACCTTATAAAAGAGGCTCCAGAGAGATCCCTAACCCCTTCTACCACGTAAGGATACAATAGGAGGTCTGTGACCCAAAAGAGCGCACTCACCTGACCATATTGCCACAGTGGTCTCAACCTTTACACTGGAGAACTATGAGAAATAAATTTCCTTTACTTTAAGCCAACCACTCTGTGGTATTTTGTTATAGCAGCTGAATGGAATAAGACAGATGTATTATTTTTCTATTCCTGAGTAACAAATCACCGCAAGCAGTAGCTTAAAACTTCGCAGATACTTATTATCACACTGTTTCTGTGAGGCAGGGCTTCGGGAGTGGCTTAGCTGGATGCTTCTGTCTAAGGTCTCTCAAAAGAGTATAATGAAGGTGTTGGTCAAGCTATGGTCTCACCTGAAGACCTGACTGAGGAAGGATACACTTTTAATTATACTTACATAGTTGTTGACAAAATTCAGTTCTTCAGAGGCTGTTGGGCTAACGACCTCAGTCCCTTATTGGCTGTTGATCTTCAGTGTCACATCCAAGAAATCATGGCCAAATTCAGTGTTGTTAAGTTTCGTCCTTTTTTTTTTCCCTAAGACTTTTATCCTTTTAGGTCTTACATTTATGTTCTTAATCTATTTTGAGTTAATTTTTTATTTGGTATTTGGTTAAGGGTCCAATTTCATTCTTTTGCAAGTGGATATCCAGTTTTCTGAGCACCATCTGTTGAAGACTGTCTTTCCCCCCATTGAATGGTCCTGGAGCCCTTCTCAAAAACTACCTGATCATTTCTACAATGATTTATTTATGGGCTCTTTATTCTTTCTCTCTGATCTATATGTCTGTCTTTATGCCAATACCACACAGTTTTGATTACTGTAGGATTGTGGTAAATTTTGAAATCAGAGAGTACAGGCTTTACAGTTTTGTTCCTATTTGGAGTCCCTTGAGGATCCATGTAAATATTAGGATGGATTTTTCTATTTCTGCAAAAAAAAAAGTCATTGGGATTTTGGTAAGGATCGGATTAAATCCGTAGCCTGCTTTCGGTAGTACTGATATTTTAATAATATTAAGGCTTCCACTTCATGAACAAGAGATACAATTTAATCAATTTTATCTTCTTTAATTTCTTTCAGCAGTGTATTTTGATTTTCATTATATAGTTCTTTCACCTCCTTGATTAATTCCTAAGTATTTTATTCTTTTTGATGCTATTGTATATGGAATTTTTTGTAATTTTCTTTTCAAATTATTCTTTGTGTATAAAAATGCAATTGATTTTTCTGTGTTGACTTTGTATCCTCCTCCATTGCTGATTTATTAGTTCAAACAGGTTTTTTATGGATTCTTTAGGGTTTTTAAAATATAAGATCATGTCATCTACAGAGATCATTTTCTTATTTCCCATTGCAGTGCTTTTTCTTCAGTTTTCATGCTTAATTGCTCTGGCTAGAACTTCCAGTATTCTGTTGAATAGAAGTGATAAAAACAAACATCCTTTTAGGAAATTCTTAAAAGAAATTCTTTAAGTCTTCACCATTGAACACAATGTTAGCTGTAGGTTTTTGGTACATGGCTTTTATTGTGTTGAGGTAGTTTCCTTGTATGCCTTGTTTATTGGGATTTTTTTTTTTTGTAATGGTGAAAGGGTGTTGAATTTTGTCAATTGCCTTGTCTGCATCAATTGAGATAATCATGTGGTGTTTTACATTGATCGACTTGGTATGTTGAGCCATCCTTGCATTCAGGAATAATTCCTATTTGGTCACTGTGTACAATCCTTTTAATATGCTGCTGAATTTAATTTGCTAGTCTTTTTTTGAGGATTTTTTGCATTAATTTTCGTGAGATGCTGGTCTTTGATTTTTCTTGTAGTGTCTGTATGGCTTTAGTAGTAGAATAATACTGGCCTCATAGAATGAGTTAGTAGAGTTCCCTCCTCTTCAGTTTTTTAGAAAAAGTTTGAGAAGGACTGGTACTATTTCCTCTTTAAATGCTTGCTAGAATCCTCCCATGAAGGCATCAGGTCTAGGGTTTGTTGTTCTTGCTGGGGGATTTTTGATTACCGATGCAGTCTCCTTACTAGTTATTCATCTGTTCGTATTTTCTATCTCTTTGTAATATAGTCTTGCTAGGTTTTGTGTTTCTAGGAATTTGTTCTTTCATCTAGGTTATCTAATTTGGTATATAACTTAATAAGTCTTAATAGATTTTAAAAGATAGCTGTCTTACAAAGTATCTTCTCTGATCACAACAGGATGAAACTGCATTAATAACCTTTTTCTTTAAATGTATTAATCTCTTAAATTATATGGGAGAAAAGTGCTCTTTAAAACCATTGTTACAAAAATAAACTAGCTTTTACAATTCTTCATGTTGTTACCTTGGGATCTTTATTTCTCTCTACAGATTCAAGTTAGTGTCCAGTGTGTTTTCATTTCACCTTGCAGGATGCCCTTGAACTTTTCTTGCAGGATGTGTCTAGTGGTCACAAAGAAAAGCTGAGAGAGTTCATCTGGGAATATCTTAATTTTTTCCTAGCTTTTGAAGGACAATTATGCCATTTTTTAAGCACTTTGAATATGTTGGTGCACTATCTTTTGGCCTCCAAAGTTTCTGATGAGAAATCTAATAAACTTTTCTTTTTTTAAAGACTTATTTATCTTAGAAAGACAGAGCGTGCAAGAGGAGGGGCAGAGGGAAAGAATCTTCAAGCAGACTCTGTGCTGAGCACAGAGTCTGACACAGAGCTCAATCTCATGACCCTAAGATCATGACTTGAGCTGAAACCAAGTGTCTGAGGCTTAACCAACTGAGCCACCCTGGTGCCCTGAGAAATCTAATAATCTTTTTGCGGATTCTTGCATGTAATAATTTGCTTTTCTCTTGCTACTTTCAAGATTCTCTTTATCTTTGAAAGTTTGATGATAATGTATCTCATCATAGGTTTCTGAGTTCATCTTGGAGTTGAGCTTGGATATTTACATTCATGTCTTTCATCAAACTTAGGAAGTTTTCAGACATTATTTCTTCACTTAGTGGCATTTCTGGGTTGCTGGTTTCTCCAGCTCTAAAGCTGGGATGTCTGAAGCAAAAACAAAACAGAGGATCTACTCACATTCCTGCTACTCCTCTGCTCCTGAGGTCCCTAACCAGTCTGCCACCTTCTTTCCACTTTTTAGAGCCTCTTATGTTTAATTTTTATATAATACCCAGGGTTTTTAGCTGTACTTAAAGGAATAGAACTGAAAGTCTCAAGATAGTTTTATATCTGCATATATATGGTCTTTGATGTGTTAAATATTAATTTTAAATATGACTCTTTTATTTAGATAAAAAACAAGAAAAAACACCTGAAAACAAAGAAGGAAAGAAATTCTACCATAACAAGTCATCAGAACACCAGAGAAGAGCAAGAGGTAATGCACCGATCTGGTTATTAACAGTTTTTGAAAAAATGGTTGCAGGAGAATGGCAGGTCATTTCTTGTTACACTTCCTATACCCTAATTCTCCCCCCCACAGGAAAAGTCAATGATTAAAACTTTGCTCATATTATTTGCTCTTTATAAAAACACAAAAAAACTTTGACAGACATGAGGTGGGTTTTATTAAGGTACTATATTTAAATCACTTAGTTTACTCTGAAAAGTATTTGAGGCATCTTACAAAGATACATCTAGGATAGAAATTAAAACTAAGAAAGCTAATTAAAATGAAGAAAAATGGCAGTACAAAGGTGTAGGAATAGATGATGTTGCAATATCGATTTCCATCATGACAGCATGAGGAGCTCTGCAGATCCATTCACCCAGCAAAAATTGGTGATACTAACACACACACATATACACACACACAAAACCATTTAAAGTTTCTGGAAGTTGTCCTGAGGGCAAACAGCAAATGAAAAAACATCTATTTGTGAAAATCTACTAAAACTTGATAAAAAGAAAACATCAAGAGCCTGTGGTATTTGAAATCAAGATCTTCCCTATCCCCCAGTGCGGCCAAGAACACAGGGCCCCCTCTGTCCACAGATGCCAGTCTGAGGGCTATCTTCCCAAGGAGGGCAGGGCATCAGTATTTCATATCCTGCCTCCAGCTCCCTGTTGTTGAGGTGAAGTTCCAGGTGAGTGCAGCCAACAGGTGGGGGCTCCCTTCTTCTACCCAGGCCCCATTCATGAGACAGAGATTCTGCTGGGAGTGCCACATTACATATTTTGGCCCCAACTGCCCTTGCCTTGGCTTCTAAAATGCTGATTCCACCCCAGAAGAGGCCAATACAGAAGACCTGAGACTACTGCCCGCTTTCCACCTGCAGCTCAGCAACTAAAGGGGGGGTCACTGAGAGAAGAGTGCCATTGTCCCCACCCCCAGCTCCAGAGACACTCAGGTCAGAAATTTTGCCTTTGGGGAGAACCAGACAAAAACAAATAGCCTTTTTTTTTTTTTTTTTAAGATTTTATTTATTTATTTGACAGAGATCACAAGTAGGCAGAGAGAGAGAGAGAGAGAGGAGGAAGAAACAGGCTCCCTGCAGAGCAGAGAGCCCAATGTGGGGCTTGATCCCAGGACCCTGGGATCATGACCCAAGCCGAAGGCAGAGGCTTTAACCCACTGAGCCACCCAGGCGCCCCACAAATAGCGTTTTTAAAGAACTTTTTATTTTGAAAGAATTACATAGTCACAGGAAGTTGCAAAGAAATGTATGTACAGGAGCTCTGCTGCAGCCTTTACTTCTCCTCCAGTGTTAACATCCTGCAGACATACCATATCGATGCCGTAAGCCTGACACTGATGCACTCCACAGCGTGCACACACGTGTTGTGTGCAGTAGTCCTCATAAATTCTTAATTCTAGTCTCGCACACTGTTAAGAGTAATAGTGCATATTTTTACCATGATACCTTATTTTTGTTTGTAAATTTTGCAATCTAAGCAACATGAGTATGCTTGGGAGGGGGCCAAGATTATAAAAAAATTTCAGTAAACAAACTCTCTAATCTAATCTAATCTCTAAATGAGTGTGTTAACTCATTTGCAGAACTCAATAACCAAAGTTAGATTTTGTTGGTGGGATTGTTTCTTATTGTTTTGTATGTAGATTTTGTGAGATGCATATATATTTACTTCTCTATGGGGCTCGAAGTGGAGCACAATGTGGGACTCAATCCCAGGACCCTGGGATCATGACCTCAGCCAAAGGCAGAAATTTAACAACTGGCCACCCAGGAGCCCCTATTTTTAAGTTATTTTAAAGTATCCTAGTTAACTCTATTTCCTACCAGGTCATTCTCAATAATTGATTTGGAAGACTTTGTGCAAAACAATTATGGATTACCGTGGTTAGAATTAGGAGATCATGGTCATAAGGACACTGGCCTGGTGATTTTCTGTAGGATGAATGTGGTAGTTTATTGCTTACATCATCATTTCAATCAAGGAAAGAGGGCTAAAAATGACAGAGTTCATCAAATCAAATCTTATCACAAGTGAATTTCTCCAGCCTAATTTTACCTCTTATCTCTACAAATTCTCGTGATTATATAATATTGCTGTTTTTAACTTTGTATATTTTTTCTAGAATATTTCCTTTCTCTGTGCCTTTAATAATCAAGTTTTGATTTTTTTTTTTTTTAAAGATTTTATTTATTCATTTGACAGACAGAGATCACAAGCAGGCAGAGAGGCAGGCAGAGAGAGAGGAAGAAGCAGGCTCCCCGCCGAGCAGAGAGCCCGATGCGGGGCTCGATCCCAGGACCCTGAGATCATGACCTGAGCCGAAGGCAGCGGCCTAACCCACTGAGCCACCCAGGCGCCCCAAGTTTTGATTTTTATACTTTCATTTTCATAATGATCATGTCAAATTTTTTGCTGCCAATTTTATCTACAAAGAAGGGAAGTTTAGTTTTTAACTCTCTGTCATAGTCCATTTTTCATCATGAGTTGATATGCATAGCATGTTGGCAAAAAAATGTTGATGATGTTTTCAATATTTTTTTCCTTTCCGTTGCCCTTTTGGAAAATGCTTTATAATATCCACATAGCACAGATGCAGAAACAAAAGTTTGGAAAAAAACTTTTTGAACAAAGTTTGGTCACGTGATTTATAGACTATTCAGGATTTGTCATAATTCTATGGTGTTTTATGTCTCATTTAGTCTAGCTGGGTCATTACAACTTTTTCAAGGTAGAAAACAATGTCATGTGTATGCTCTTACTACTCTGGACTTTGACAAGCTATGAAAAAGTATTTTTTATCTTTTTTATACAAGGATAGTTTTGTAATCAATTATACACTTTCACACAATTTTATGTATTTTTACTCATTTCATATTCTTACCTACATATTTATTCTCATTTAAATGGGATTGTAAGCACACATTTTTTTGTCTCTTTCTCATTGTAAATAAATTCTATATGAAGTAAAAAAGATTTTTAACTCCCTTTAGTAGTGCCAGAATATCAGTATTTTCTTCTCATTGCTGTAGGAGAAAAGTGGTGTTATGAAAGGTATTAAGAGGTTCTGATTTAAGAGGCATTTTTGTCTACTCTAAACCTATGATAAAATGAGAAATGTTGAAAACTGCTACACCAAGGATGATACAGGAAATATACTGCATTTTCATGTTTATAACATAGCATTATTTTACTTTTGATTCTGTGTTCCATTAGGCATGTGATAAAGGACGTTTAGTGCAAAGACACAGAGAATCAGATTCTGAAGTGAAAGGTAATGTTCTGCTTCTAAACAATTCATTCATTCAACGAACACTTTTTTGTGCCACATCATTGAGGTTGTCATTGTGCTTGGTGCTAGGGATATGAAGTAAGCTACACCATTTCTTGCTCCCAGCAGCTCATTTTTAAAAGGGGGAGAAAAACAAGTAAACAAATTGACTGCAGTGTTACAGGTACAATGCCAGTATTCTAGACTGGGCTCCTAGAGAGCACAGAGAAAGGAGTGGTCAACTACACTGGAGGGTTGGAGTGAGTGGCCATGAACTTGATGGATATCTCTGATTTGAGAGGTTTTTCCCTAAACAGAATATAGGGATTTTAGGTTTAAAAAAAACCTCATTTCTTAACTTAATAGAGGATGAGCTCAGGAGAGAAAATTATGGACTATTCATTTACTTCTACTGGAATCTGCTAAGTTGGATATGAATTTGACTCTCTATCTGCATTACTATTCATTTATACCACACTTATTTCCAAAAAAGGATTTGAGAGAACCTAATTAAAAAAATATATGTACATATAAATATATATATATATATATCCATTTAGTTTATGATCTAGCAGGCTAACTAGAAATAGAAATGGGAATAATAACCACACCAAGGAAAGGGGAAAATTATATTATAACTAATATGGTTTATTGACTTGAAATTTAACTACTCTTTCTCATAGTGATCATACAAGAAAATCACTTTTAATATATAACTTTAATATAGTCTTCTGTTGAAAATTTAGTATCAAAAATTAGAACTGAAAAGCACATTTTAACCTTTTTCTATGTCTGAGCACATATATTCCACGTTAATTAACCACAGAATGTTCATGTTGTTTTGCAACCTACATTTTCATTTAAAATTACAGTATATTATAAACTTCTATGTTATTAAATGGTGGCAAAGTATTCCATTGTATTAGTGAACCTTAAATTTACCTACCTCCCTTGTTAAACTTTTCTTTTGCTTCTTTTCTGTTATGATAATGAAGACCTTATAACTCTACTTGTACACATTCTTATTTATGATAGACTCCTAGAAAGGAATTGCTGACCCAAAGGGTATGAACATTTTTTAGACTTTAACAATAAAGAGCAAAAATGCAACAAAAATTCATATGTGAGAACTGTTTGCATTAGTTTATTGAGCTAAACTATTTACATGTTCTAGCCTTTTTGTTTAAAAAAAGAAAAAATATGAAGTGTAAAAGATTCAAATTATTTTCATGCTACTAATGATCTTTTGTCATCTTCTCTAGATACAAAGCCAAATGTATCAGATGATTGTATATTTGATTATTTCAGAAGAGCATTCCCTAATCAAAGTTTGGGTGAGTAAACTAGGAATATAGATAGTAATTCCTAGTTTCCTAGCAGTGGTTGAAGTTGGCACAGTTCCTTTTTTTTTTTTTTTTTAAGATTCTATTTATTTATTTGACAGAGAGAGATACAGGGAGACAGAGAACACAAGCAGGGGCAGAGGGAGAGGAAGAAGCAGGCTCCCCACTGAGCAGGGAGCCCAATGCGGGGCTTGATCCCAGGACCCTGGGATCATGACCTGAGCAGAAGTCAGATGTTTAATGACTGAGCCACCCAGGCGCCCCACAGTTCCAGGACTTCCATTAGCACCCCAAAAATCACATTTAAATGCCACATCCCTTTATTCTCTTTCAATATGGAATAGCCACTTAGCCTTTCTTTGTCATGCACAGCCCTGGCATTTTTGAAGGTCATGGGCCTGTTGTCTTATACAATGTTTGGTTTTAAAGTTTTAATGCACTCAAGAATTACCTGGGAAGTTTATGGAAACCCCAGCTTCTGAGTCTGAGCTGGACTTTGTTGTTAGCCCCTGAATCACATTTTTATAAGATACTTGATAATTCTGATGTTGGCAATTTGCAGGCCATACCTAGTGACTTGCCACTTTAGGAGCTATCTTGAGAGATGGTGAAAGGCCAGATGGTTAGGACCTAGCCTCTCAAACCCTTCTTCATCCTGCATAGCTTTCTTTCAATACTGTTCTGTTCAAAAGAAAAAGATTTTTTGACAACCACTTGCTACAGCATAGAAACCAAGTTCTATAACGACGTACTAGACTTCCAGTGAACTGGCTCCTGACTACCTCTCCAGTTTTACCTCTTGCCATCCTCTGCCTTTCACTTTTAGACCTCAGCAAAGATGATCTTCTTGTAGCCTCAGAATAGATCCATCTTACCACTGTGCTTTTTCTCCTGTTGTCTTCTCTGCCTGAAACATATTAAATTTTAGTAAGGTATCAAATTTTAGTAAGGCTCATCATATAGAGTTCATTTTAAGAAGAGTTAGAAAGATTGAGTGATACTGATGTACACAAACGGCTCTGCTTGTTCAGAAAACAGGATCAAATCCAGCCTGGAAATCTCGGGGAATGTTTTCTTGAGAGAATTGATCCTTAAATTATGATGCAGTCTTAAATGACAAAGTTGGGCATTTAGCAAAAGGCAGAGGGTCACTTCCTTGAATTCTTAAAAAAAAAATTGGGGGGTGGTGGTCAGTGGTTTTGTGATCTTGTATGTAAATTCTTTCCTTACTTGAGATATAATATGTCTGGGACTAGAAATAACTCACTCAGAGCCTTTTGACTTCTGTCATCTCTTACCAATATTTATTCTTCCCTTTCGAGAGAGAATAAAACTCTATTTGATAGAAAGAAGCAACTTAGCTGAGGGATTCTGCTTTTTCATCCATCAGGATGATGTTATTAAAATAATCCCAGCAGAACAGACTTAAACATTCTGTGATATATAAGTAAAATTTACACCTTGTCAATATTTATTCATATCTTAACTCAATATTTTAACCTTCCTGACACTGTTCTTCTATGTCTCAACCACTCTCTTATCAGTCTTTGTTATGTAATCTCCTTTTCATGTTTCTTCATGTTCTTTTAAAAATCTGATGGTCATCTGCTTCCCAGAAGTCTCATGTTATACTGTCAAGGATTGTGCTAGATACTAGGATAAAGTAGAAATACAGTCTATTCTCAGTAAGTAGAGTGACAAGAGGCAACAGAAATATAATGTGATCAATGCTACGTGCTATGTTATGGGATTATATAGGAGTTGTTTGGGGCGAGGGGAGTACCAGAGAAATTATCTCAAGAAAGACAACTGTTAGAATTCCAGGGTCCAAGTGAATATATATATATTTTTTACCAAGATATGAATCTATTAAGAATTAAGACAAGGGGCACCTGGGTGGCTCAGTGGGTTAAGCCTCTCCCTTTGGCCCAGGTCATGATCTCAGGGTCCTGGGATCGAGCCCCACATCAGGCTCTCTGCTCAGCAGGGAGCCTGCTCTGTCCTCTCTCTCTGCCTGCTTCTCTTCCTACTTGTGATTTCCATCTGTCAAATAAATAAAATTAAAAAAAAAAAGAATTAAGACAAAAAGACAAACAAAATACCAGCAAACTGAATCCCATATTAAAAGGATTATACAGGGCGCCTGGGTGGCTCAGTGGGTTAAAGCCTCTGCCTTCAGCTCAGGTGATGATCCCAGGGTCCTGGGATCAAGTCCCGCATCGGGATCTCTGCTCAGCAGAGAGCCTGCTTCCCTTCCTCTCTCTCTGCCTGCCTCTCTGCCTACCTGTGATCTCTGTCAAATAAATAAATAAAATTTAAAAATAATAATAAAAAAATAAAAGGATTATACACAATGACCAAACAGAATTTATCCCAGAAATGCGAGACTGATTTAACATATGAAAATTAAACAATGTAGACTTCCAGGGAAGATGGTGGAGTACGAGGATCCTATGATCACCTCATCCCAAAGACAGAGCTAGATAACACCTGCATCAGTGTAAATAACCCAGAAAGCGACCCAAAGACTGCAGAACAGACTCATCATAGCTAAGTGTAGAGAAGAGGACACATCCTTGTCCTACCCCACAAGAGGAGGGAGGGTAGGAAGGGCAGAGATGAGGTCAGGAGCTAAATGGACTGGTGGGACTTTTACCTATAGGGAGGAATGCCACAAATATGGAAAGGAAAGAGTACCAGACCCACACAGCAAGAACCCCAGGCCTGGAGAACCTGCAAGAAAACAAGAGGGGCATAATTTTGAGAGTTCTTACAATCGGTGGAGCTTAATACCTGGAAATTTAAAAATCAGTGGGCTCAACTCTTGGGAGAGCGAAGAGGGCAACAGGAAACTTCAGTTCCCCCCCTTAAAGAAACAGCACAACACACAGCTCCACTGAGATACAGCATGAACACAGCAGTTTGAAAAACACATGGGGTATATAGGAAGGAGATTTGTTTACTCATCTCAGAGTGTGTTCTAGAAGGACAGAGATCTTTGGGAGACTTCTCCAGAAATAAAAGAACTAGCCGGTGCCATTTCCCTACCCCACCCACCAGCCTAGATACATGGACACCTGTGGGACACAGTACAGTGCCAACACTCGTGACCTAACTTGCTAACAGTGTGCCCCACCCCCACATTCTCTTTCAGACACACCCCTCCAAGCAGTCCTCAGCTCCAAGTTGTCTCCCACAGCAGACCTGCACAAACCTCCTAACTCCACGTGAACTGCCCCTCCAATATACCATTGGCAGGAACCCACCTGAGGCAGTTCCACAGGCCCAGAAGGGTGCATGCATCTATGAGAGACCAGCACCATTCCAAAGTGACTCCCGCACACACCAGTCCACCTGCAGCCCTAGCAGTAGGCTGGGGCAGACATGTAGTCTGACAGCAGGTCACACCCACCAACCAAAGCTTCTCAGACAACACAGGGAAAATGCCCAGCAGGTTGGTGCTACAGTATCTCTGGCAAATGCTTAGTTTGATTCCAACTCAAGCCCAAAGCAGTCCCTGATTAGCACACTGACAACACAGAATCAAAATGCTACCCACATTAGGCAAAGAGAGCCAATGCCAATGACTGGACTGGAGGCAAAAGTGACTCAACCATCATAGTAAGGTGCACAAAATACAAAAGATGAGATGCCCCTTAAGCACCAGGTTCTGGTAAGCAGGGGACATTGCATTATAGGGCACCACAAAACCTCTTCTTCACAGGCCACTACTTTGGAAAACAGGAGACGTAGCTGACTTTCCTAAGACCTAGAAACAGACACTGAGAATTATGTTCCAAATGAAAGAAAAGGACAGAATCACAGCAAGAGAACTAAACAAAATGGAGATGAGTAAATGCTTGATAGAAAATTTAAAGTAATTGTCACAAAGATACTCACTGGACTTGTGAAAAGAGTGGAGGACCTCAGTGATACCCTACACAAAGAGATAGAAAGCCAATCAGAGATGAAGAACTCAATAACTGAAATTAAAAATATGTTAGTTGGAAAAAACAGTAGACTAGATGAAACAGAAGAATGGATCAGCATCCTGGAGAACAGTAATGGAAAGCAATCAAGCTGAATGAGAGAGAAAAACATAATAAAAATTGAAATCAGACCAAGAGAACTCAGCGACACCATCAGGTCTAATAATATTTGCATAATCCATAAGGAGAAGAGTGAGAAATGGGAGCAGAAAATATATTTGAAGAAATATCTGAAAACTTCCCAAATCTGGGAAAGGAAACAAAAATCCAGGTCCAGCAGGCTCAGAAAGACCCCAACAAAATCAACCCAAGAAGGTCCACACCAAGAGACATAGTAATAAAATAGCAAAAAGTTGTGATAACAAGAGAATTTTAAAAGTAGCAAGAGAAAAAAATAATTACATACAAAGGAAACCCCATAAGGCTACTAGCTAATCTTTCAGCAGAAACTTTGCAGGCCAGAAGAGATTGTCATACTATATTCAAAGTGCTAAGAGGATAAAATAATACTCTAGCAGCCAATAATAGTCTACCCAGCAAGGCCATCATTCACAATAAAAGGAGAGATAAAGAGTTTCCCAAATAAGAATTAAAGGAATACATGATCCCAAAGCCAGCCTTACAAGAAATGCTAAAGGGGAGTCTATGAGGGAAAGGAAAGACCATAAGCAGGAGTAAGAAAGTAGGAAGCACAAAAGCAATAAAATTATATCTATAAAAAATCAGTCAAGGATTTCACTAAATGAAAGAATGTAAAACATGACACCATATACCTAGAATGGAAGGAGAGGAGTAAAGAATGAGTTCAAAATTAAGCAACTATCAATTTAATATAGACTGCCATATATATGTAAGATGTTATATACAAAACTGACAGTAACCACAAATCAAAAATCAGTGATACACAAAAAATAAAGAGAAAGGAATCCAGGTATATCACTAAAGAAAGCCAGCAAATCATGTGAGAAGAGAGCAAAAGAAGAAAGGAATGGAGAACTACAAAATCAACCATAAAACAAGTAACAAAATGGCAATAAGTACATACCTATCAGTAATCACTTTGAATGTAAATGGACTATATGCTCCAATCAAAACACATAGGGTGACAGAATGAATAAAAAGCAAGACTCATCTGTATGCTGCCTACAAGAGATTTGTTTAGACCTAAACATACATGCACATTGAAAGCTAAGGAATGGAAAAATATCATGCAAATGGAAGTGAAAAGAAAGCTGAGGTAACAACAGAATATACTTCAAAACAAAACAAACAAAATATACTTCAAAACAAGAGACAACGAAGGACATTACATAATCATCAAGGAAACATCCAACAAGAAGTTATAACACTTATAAATATTTATACACACAACAGATAAACACAACAGATACATAAAGCTGCTAGTAACAAACATAAAGGAAGTAATAGTAATACAGTAATAGTAGGGGACTTGAACCACCCCACTTATATCAATGGATAGATCATCCAAACAAACAGAAAATCAACAAAATACAGTGGCTTTGAATGACACATTGGACCAGACGGATCTAACAAGATATATGCAGAACATTCCATCCTGAAACAGCAGAATACACATTTGACAAAGTCCAACATTAATTCATGATAAAAGCCTTCCGGATGTAAAGTAGGTTGAGAAGAAACACACCTCAAAATAATAAAGGCCATATATTTAAAAACCCACAGCTAACATCATATGCAATGGTTAAAAACTGAGAGCTTTCCCCCTAAGATCAGGAACAAGGATGTCCACTCTTACCACTGTTATTCAACATAGTACAGGAAGTCCTAGCAATCAAGACAACAAAAAGAAGTAAGAAGCATCCAGATTTGTAAGGAAGAAGTAAAACTTTCACTATTTGCAAATGACATGATACTACATATAGAAAACCCTAAAGACTCCACCAAAAAACTGCTAAAACTGATGAGTGAATTCACCAAGTTCGCAGGATACACAGAAATTTGTTGCATTTCTATACACTAATAATAAAGCAATAGAAAGAAAAAACAATCCCACTTACAATTTCACCAAAAATAATAGAAAAACTAGGAATAAACTTAACCAAGGAGGTAAAAGACCTATATTCTGAAAACTATAAAACACTGATGAAAGAAACTGAAGATAACACAAATGGAAAGATATTCCATGCTCATGGATTGGGAGAGAAAATATGGTTAAAATGTCCATACTACCCAAAGCAATCTACAGATTTGATGCAATCCCTATCAAAATACTAATGGCATTTTTAATAGAATTCGATCAAATAACACTAACATCTGTGCAGAACCACGAAAGACCCTGAATAGTCTAAGTCATCTTGAAAAAGAACAAGAGTAGAGGTATCACAATCCCAAATTTCAAGATATGCTACAAAACGAGAAATCAAAACAGTATGAAAGCACAAAAATAGATCAGAATAGAGAGCCCTAAACAAACAAACAAAAACAAAACAATTATTTGGTCAATTAATCTTCGACAAAGGAGGCAAGAATATGCAATGAGAAAATGGCAGTCTCTTTAACCACTGGTGTTGGGAAAAGTGGACAGCTACATGCAAAAGAATGAACCTGGACCGCTTTCTCACACCATACAGAAAAATAAACTCAAAATGGAGTAAGGTCTTAAATGTGAGATCTGAAACCATAAAAAGCCTACACTAAGAGAGCATAGGCAGTGATTTCTTTGACATTGGCTATGGCAACATTTTGCTACATATGTCTCCTAAGGCAAAGGAAACAAAAGCAAAAATAAACTATTGAGACTACATGAAAATAAAAAGCTTTTGCACAGCAAAGGAAACAATCCAGAAAACTGAAGGACAACCTACCAAATGGGAGAAGATATCTGCAAATGGCATAGCTGATAAACAGTATCTAGAATATATAAAGAACTAATACAACTCAACACCCAAATAAACCAAATAATCCAATTAAAAATGGGCCAAAGACATGAACAGACATTTCTCCAAAGAAGACATACAGATGGTCAGTAAACACATGGAAAGATATTCAACATCACTCATCGTCAGCGAAATGCAACTTAAAACCACAATGAGATATCCCCTCATACCTATCAGAATTGCTAAAATCAAGAACATAAGAAACAACAGGTGTTCGCAAGGATGCAGAGAATGGGGAAAGTTCGTGCACTGTTGGTGGGAATGCAAGCTGGTGTGGCCACTGTGGAAAACAGTATGGAGATCCTCAAAAAATTAAAAAGAGAATTACCATATGTTCTAGTAACTCCACTACTAGTATTTACCCAAAGAATACAAGAACACTAATTTGAAAAGATATGTGCACCCCAGTGTTTACTGCAGCATTATTTACAATAGACTTGGGCCTACAAGATGTCTATCATTGTTGCCAGCCATAGAAAAGCCATCAAAATGTTGGGTCTGCCATTAAATCACATTTTCAACATGTGGGACAAGAAGAACATCCTCTAATTTGGAAATAGTTTGAAGATGAGAATACAGGGAAACACTACAGTAAAATAATTTATATGCTGTTTCTCTAAAACTGTTCGAAGATCTTTGAAGAAGCACATGGACTGTACAAAAGGATTCATTGCACCTGAACTATTTGTATTGTGTGTAGGTTATGACAAAAACTCATACAGTGGGGGGAAATGATATTTAGGGGAAGAAAGACTGCCTCAAAACACGAAGATATGTTACCTAAAGGGGCAGCCAAATGAAACCACCAGGAAAACTGTAATTTATTTGAAATCCACCTTCAGATTACCTCCGTGCTTTATAAACATTTTCCCTGAGAAAGAAGTTTAACATATGGTGACAGGGAGTTTCAGAGCGTCTAAAAACAATGGACATTTCAGACATGCAGCGCCTACATGATGAATTTAAAGATGCAGATGGCCTGAATGCCAGAAAGCTAATCTGCTAAAAACAAGCTTGGATATTTTTAGAGAGGTGGAAAGTAATTCCTTACAAGTCCAAAAACCTGCTGCGGCCAGTAAGTAAAATCATATTCCATACTCAGGTTTGTCTGTTGATGGGGTCTCTAACTTGATGTCATTGCACTGGACCGCCACCAGGGGCCAGTGTAAAAGTGGATTCGGTAAGAGGAGACGGCAAGTCAGGTCTCTGAATGTGCTCAGTGTTAACACTACATAAAGGAGGAACATCCTAAAGGTACAGGCCATTCAGAGAAGTATTATCAGAAAAGGAAACACAAAGTGCAAAAAGATCCTACTTTATCATGGGACATAAACCTGTTCTTGTTCATTTTTATTAAATATAGGAAGTATCTGTTAGCTCGATTATATTTACATTCAGCTTTTAAAATCTTATTATGTGTCTTAAAAATGCACAATATGGCTTATAAAATTAAAATATCCACTAAAGGGGCGCCTGGGTGGCTCAGTGGGTTAAAGCCTCTGCCTTCAGCTCAGGTCATGATCCCAGGGTCCTGGGATCAAGCCCCACATCGGGCTCTCTGCTCAGCAGGAAGCCTGCTTCCTCCTTTCTCTGACTGCCTCTCTGCCTACTTGTAATCTCTGTCAAATAAATAAATAAAATCTTTAAAAAAAAAAAATAAAATATCCACTAAAGAATTAAAATCTGTATCAGAGGAGAGAAACAAAAATCTTGTTCTATTATTCTCACATACTGCTTAATGTGTTCTATAAATTACTGCTAAATGCCACTGTTAACTGGTCCTATTGTTTTGCTTAAATAATAGTGTTTATGTAACAGAAAAGCAAATAATACCTATTTTCAATACCTAGTTTATATTTTAATGTTAAAATAATACGTGTGACATATAGCTACCTGTTACATATTACACTACTTTTTTGGTCTGTCATGGCTGTGTCCTTGGCGGGCTGTCTAAACAGTCACCTGACTGTACATGTATATATCCTTCATAGATCTAACATATGTATTTTCAGTTCTGAATTTTTTGACAGTTATTGGATAGGCATTTGTACTGTTTGCTATTCTCTTGAAACAGTTTAATTAAAAAGCTTCTAGGGGAAATACGTACTAATAAACTTCATGTCTGAGTAAAACAATGGCAGATTAATTGAAGATAAACTCAGTTAAACTAGCCATTAAATGTATGAATGAGGCAACTGTCAAGAAGTAAAAGTACTAAATTTCATTAATCTTTTTAAAAAATCTCCATTCAGATATTTTATGGCTTATTCTCTTTTTAGTGAAAATACCGGGACGAGCTCCTGCTTGGTTTCTAAAAAGATATTTGAGGTAGGAGAACTAGATTTCTTCTACCCAGCTACCTTATTCCTTTTCCTCTGGCTTCTATGATTTTGATTTTGAATTAAAGCAACAGGTAAAAGTAGCTTTTTTATAACAATTGTTAATTGATGTCTCTTTATATTCTCCATCATATCTGTAGGCCGATGTTAATACATAGCAGTACTTTTCTGATACCATTTGAAGGATATTGAGATTTCAGTATTCCCGAACTATCCCCCGTGGATGCCTTAAAATCTACAATTAGACATTTATTTCTATGCATTTGTCATGGCATTATCTGAGTTTCTCTTTTTTCAAAAAAATATACATGTTGCTGGTGTAAGATAATTACTTAGCACTTTGGGATGGATGACTATCCCATCACGACCTATAAGAGCGATTGGAGCGTCAGTCACGTAGGGCTAATCCTAGTACCTGGAAACTGGAGGAAGTATAGAAAGTGAATTCAGGAATAACATAGATAAACTTGGTAGTTTCTCTAAACCAGTAATTATTATATCACTAGCTCCCTTGGCAAGTTTTCCTGTTCTAGGAATAATGACATGAGCAACCATCAGAACCATGGAATAGTAAGTATCCGAAGGTAGACTGAATGTGTCCAACAGAGGAAACATAGTATGTGCTTTCTTCCTCCCATGGCTCTTCTAAGAACTTGGTTTCTACTCAATATAACGGGTTCTGTGGAAATATGTAGACCCTCCTGCCCCCAAAACCTACAAAATAGGTAAGAAGCCATCTTCGGGCATGCCTGTACTTCGCTCTAGAACTGAACAAACTAATACAATGTTTTAAAAAATCTATCTATAGAAAGATATCAAATGATACAGGAAAATAAGAGAAAGTAGAAAAAGTATTGGAGTTACAAGCTGTCAATTCTGGACCCTTCCCTCCCTCTTATTAGCTGCATGATGTTGAGCAAGTAAGCTTAACCAGTCTGATTCCTTAGCACTCCCTCTCTGATGTAAGATGGGGATAATACTGGCCATCCTGCCTAGACCATAGGACTGGTAATACAATATCTGTAAGTCTCCTTTACATACTGCGAGGTGTAATATACAAATATAACATGGCACTACATTACTCTTGATTAGATAGATCACCGGTGACACTGAAATCAGAGTACGCAATTTCTTTCAGCTCCCAAAATAGGATTCAGAGGCTCAGCAAAGACCAACAAAGACAGTTGTTAGAAACTGGTGAGAAGACAATCCACGAAATAATTCAGCCCAAGAGCACTAATTTGTATGGAAACTGTTTCAAAGTAAAATCCTTCAAGTGTCCTATGAGCACGCAAACTCCCAGCTGGGCTGAGAAGACAAGGATACCAGCAGAAGGTGGTTTGTTTGTTTGTTTAGGATTTTAATAAAGACAAAGGTTACTTTCACTGTATCATCATTAATAAATCCTATGAAATTTGGAACTGTTTATAATCAGAAAGGACTATTAGCCATTTTATTCCTGATTCTGAAAAGTGCTTGCCTTATTTAACTTCTATATAAGTTTGATACAGAAAAAAAATTTTAATATAGCTTTGGAAAAAATCTATTTAATTGCCTTATTCCCAATACCTCATCATTGCTGCCTTTTCCATACCATAGTATAAAAAAGGAATGAACTAATACACATGATATGAATGAATCTCAAAATCATTGTGCTGAGTACAAGAAGTCAGACTTATGAAATGCTGTATAAATCTCATGTATAGGAAATGCAAACTAATTTATAGAGAAAAAAAAATAGATAAAGCTTTCCTGGAGGAAGATGGCATAGAGCAGGAGATGAAGAATGGACTAGAAAGGAACACAAGGAATCTCTTACGATGTTTTTTCCTAGATCCTGAATGTGATGATGGTTTCACAATTGTTTACAGCTGTTGAATTGCCAGTTTCAGTTTCCAGAGCAACTAAGTGAAGTGGAGTTCTCTTCTGCTGAGATGGTAAAGACTGAGGGCAGATGAGCAAATCGGCTTAGGCTTGTTTTTGAAATGCCTTTCAGACACTGAAGCAGAGGTACTGAGTTAGCAGTTGGGTATGAGTCTGGAGTTCAAGAAAGAGGTCTGGGCTGGATACACATATAGAAATTTTCAGATAAAGACCGCATTCTAGGGCGTGAACCTGGATGAGACTCTTAAGTGAGGACGGATATAGAAGAGGGTTACGGAGCAGATCCTTGGGTATTCCAGTACTGATGGATCAGAAGAAGAATAAGAACCAACAAAGATATATCTCTAACCTTCTTTTTACAAAGCATAACGTATTTCATGCTTTTATTCTAAGTGTATTCTACTTTTTCTTACGTTGTCTACACACCATCTTGGGCATTATAATTGTAAGTAATCTTGCCGTGTCCTTTAAAATGTCTACTAGTCTTCATTCAGGCTTTACTCAGGCTTTCTTTTTATCCTTCAGCTCTCTTCCTGAGTATATAGAATTTTTAAGAATTGTGTCAAAATACACATGAAATAAAATTACCATCTTAACTATTTTTAAGCCTAAAGTTCGGGTATTGTTAAGTACATTCACCTTGTCATGCACACAATCTCCAAAATTCTTTTCATCTTACTAACCTGAAACTCTGTACCCATTACACAACTCCCCATTCCTCTCTCCTCCCAGCTCCTGGCAACTATCCTACTTTGAATCTCTCTTTGACTATTTCTTACATAAGTAGAATCAAATATTTGGAAGACAAATACATTATTTGTCTTTTTGTGACCGGTCTGTTTCACTGAGCATAATGTCTTCAAGTTTCATCCGTGGTGTAGAAGGTGTCAGAATTTCCTTCCTTGTCAAGGGCTGAGTGGTACTCCATTGTACATATCGACCATGTGTTGTCTGTCCATGCATCCATCAGTAGGCACCTGGGTTCCTTCCACCTTTTTGGCTACTGTGAATTGAATAATGCTGCTTCTATGATCATATATAAATACCTCTCTGAGACTCTGCTTTCAACTCTTTATGGCATAGACCCGGATAGAATTGCTGGATCATATAGTAATCTATTTTCAATTTTTTGAGGAACCACCATACTTTTCTTCACAGTGACTGTACCATTTTCCATTCCCAGCAACAGTGCACCAGGGTTCTAATTTCCACAGATCCTTACCAACACTTGTTATTTTCTGGTTTTTTTTTTTATAGTAGTCTTACCTAATGCAAGGGGGAAGTAAACACTTTTTAATGTTATTATAATGATCACAATTAACAAAATAAACAATAATTCCTGCATATCCTGTAGTTAAGAAGGGATTTCCGGCATGCCCTTCTCATGGTCTTTCCCATATCTCCATCCTTCTGTTTCTCAAAATCAGAAGCTTTGCGGTCACCACTGATTCCTCTCTTCTCTCATCACACATTAATTCATTAGTAAAATCTCAAAATACAGGATTATATAACAGCAGGGTCCTGCTAAAACAAATCTCAGATGGTAACACTCCTCTGCTCAAAACCTTTCAGTAGCTCCCCATTTCACACTCAGTAAAGCCAGTCTTTACAATGGCCTGTATGGCCCCATGTGAACACTGTCCAAGCCACCTAGCCGAGCTGCTGTCTTAGCTCTTTCCCCATAATTCAGTCTACTTTAGCCACTTGTGCCATCTTTGTGATCAACAAACTAACATGCTCCTCGCTCAGGGCCTTTGCACCTACTATTTTTCTTGCCTAGAATGCTCTTTTACTCTGGTATCTGCTTGACTCACTCCCTAATTCCTCTGACATTCCTCAACTTCGCAGGGAGGTCTTCCCTGAACGCCTTGTAAAAAACAGAAGTCAACCCCTCCCCCAAGAATTCTTTATTTCCCTCCCCCACGTTATTTTATCCTGTAAACTTCAGCATTATCTGACATACTATATATATTACTTATTTGCTATTTTCTGACCTGTAATTACAATATAATGGATAAGAATTTTTAGACAGATCCTTGACACATAATGTTCAATAAGTAATTGTTGAGTTGATTTAGTTCATGTATCTGTGCGTGTATTTGTGGTTGTTCCCCAGATCTGCGTCGCAACTTTAAAAGCAAAATGAAAGAATGTACTTCTTTCCAGAGCAAGAAGACTGGCATAAATTGGACAGATGATGAAAAGAGAATCTACAGGGATAAAAGAATAGCTCAAACTCAAGAAATTCTGCAGTATTTGCTCCCTATCATGGAAAGCACTAAAAATGTACAAACCCCTCAGAAGAAACAAATACTCAACCCAAGAACCAGCTTCCAAATTCAGCATCAGTAAGTCGATACAATTTTGTCATTCTCAGATATTGACTACATTTTTATAAGGAAGCAAAGTTTAGTAATTCATTATCCTAAGAAACAAACATACGCTCTTAAAAATGGTGGCAGCTACGCCCCATTTGACAAAGGGACAAAAACCCAAAGCCATCAGAAAACAATGGATAGGTGACGGGAATAGGTTATCAGGTCTTATTTAATAATTTGCATGAAATTACTCATTAATTTGGATCTCTGAGTAAGTATACGTGCATGAAGTATGACAGTAGCCTGACTTCAGATTTCTCTGATGTGTTTAAGGCTTATAATCCTAGGGTGCAACCAGAATAAGAAATAATTACCTTGAATTACTTAAGCTTATTGACAGTCAGAGGAAAGCATAAAGAATAAGACCAGATTTCTTTTAAAGATAAAAAAAAAAAAATAGAACCATCACTAAGACTAAAAGGAAACACGTATACCTAAGAGACAACAGCAAGCTGAAAACATTAACAAATCTTAATGAGGTATCTTTGTACTAGACATGATTCTGTGTTTGCACACACACCATGTGTATTTTACACTCTGCACCTAAGGAAATTGAGGTGCAAAGAGTTTAAGTGATTTGTCCAAGGTCACACAGCCAACTGACAATCTGTTTTCAGAGTCTGTTTTATTCCCTTTAAAATACAAATGAAAAACAGAGGACCAATAAACTAAATAGTTACAGATGACCTACACATCAATGACAAAATTTTGAATATTTTAGTAGGAAAATGAGCAAAGGCTATGAACCAGAAATTCACAAAAGAAAAAAATTGGTCAATAAATATTTTAAATGTTTAATTTCACTTAAAGGAGTGCAAATTAAAGCAATAATGAAATACTATTCATTTGTGCCTCTCGACCGAAGAATTAACTCACTGATGGTTGGAATATGAATTCATACAGAGTTGTGTTTCTTTTGGTTTTGGGTGGGTTTTTTTTTGATGCAGAGTTTTGAAAGGCAATCCAACAGTGTAAACGAAAAATCCTCAATATTATATATTCATTTTGACTAAAAAAATTCCACTTTTAGAAATTAAACCTAGGGATAGGGCGCCTGGGTGGCTTAGTCTGTTAAGTTTCTGACTCTTGATTTTAGCTCAGTTCATGATCTCAGGGTTGTGAGATCGAGCCCCACATCAAGCTCTGTCCTGAGCATGGGAGCCTACTTAAGATTCACTCTCTCTCCTTCTCCCTCTGCCCCTCCCCCACCACTTTCTTTCTCTCAAAAAATGTGCTCGCTTCGGCAGCACGTACACTCAAAAAAAGGAAATTAAACTTCCAGAAGTGGGGGGTGGAAAACCTAGGTAAGAGTTTTCTGTAATGATGTTCACTTCTTTTTTTAAGATTTATTTATTTCAGAGAGAGAATGAGTGAGGGTGGGCGGGGAGAAAATCTGAAGATTCAGATGCTTAATCGACTGAGCCACCCAGGCACCTTGATGCTTTTAAACGATATTTCAGTATCGTTTAAAAGTGTCAAAGAAAAAGGAAACGAAATGAACCTAAATGTTCAACAACAGAAAAAGTGCTTATAGTATATCCATAGAATGAAGTATTATGTAGCTATGAAATATTGTAAGTACAGATTAATTAACATGTGATAATGTTCGCAATGCATAAGTGAATAAAAACTACAAATCAACTTTGTTATGGTTGCATTTACAGACTATGCAAGTCTATTTAAAGTGTGCCTATTATACACAAACACATACACACCTACAAAGATCTCTGGTAGCACATAGCCCCAACAATGGTTCTCTCTGGATGAAGCCCTGACAGAGGGTGATATTCCTCTTTATGCTCCCCCCTCAACTCTTTTTTTTTTTTAAAGATGTTATTTATTTATTTGACACAGAGAAAGAGATCACAAGTAGGCAGAGAGGCAGGCAGAGAGAGAGGAGGAAGCAGCCTCCCCTGCTGAGCAGAGAGCCCGATGCACGGCCTGATCCCAAGACCCTGAGATCATGACCTGAGCCTAAGGCAGAGGCTTAACCCACTGAGTTCCCAGGTGCCCCCCCAACTCTTGATTAATGCCTATTTCTTAATAGTATAACCAGCAAAGTCCATAAAATTATAAGGATAGGCAACTGGTGACAGTTTCTAATCAGAAGGGATAGCTATCATGCTGGGGAAGGGAGGGCCTAACAGAAATTGTGTCTAATATATCAGCTAATATGGGCGAGACAGATAGCACAAGCCCGGGCAAACAAGCGACCAGTCCCATTATGATAACACAAGCAGACTCAATAATCCAGAAACTAATAACAAAATATAATGGACCTAGGCAAAGATGACAGTTAAGACATAGCTTAATTTTTAATTCTTATATTCATGAGCGATCTCTTACACACTTTGAACCCAGAAGTGTACTCAGTGTGGATTGGCCTGAGTCTGGAAGGGTAGACAGCTAATAGATTGTATTAATTAAGAACGCTTTGGGTATAAATAACAGAAACCAATTTAAGCTACTTTAATCAGAAAGTACAAGGTCGGGTAGGAGGGAAGAAAATCTAAGACAATTCATGGCAATAAAGGGTAGAGAAAATTCAGTCAGGTCTCAGAAAAGGGCTGAAACTAGGGAACGGAAAGCCGCCTGAACTCTATCCATCTTCAGTTTCCGTTTGTCTCTTTCTGCAGAAAACTCTTCATACTTCACACCTGCACAAATTTGCAATCCCCAACACTTGCGCTTTCAAGACTCTCTCTTCCTCCCAATTCAAAGTTACAGGGAAAGAGAATCTGGTTGGCAACCATGCCAGTGGGTAGAGAACAGATAGTTACAAATGGCTGACGACCCTTGTGGGTCAAGAGGTAGTCCCCAGAAAAGGGCACCTTGTGCCTGGGGTAGGCCCTTCCCCAAAGTATCTACCATAGGTATACATGGAAACAAGAAAAAAAAAAAGGAAAATAGCAAGCAAGACCATTCTTTTTTTTTTTTTTAAGATTTTATTTATTTATTTGACAGACAGAGATCACAAGTAGAGAGAGATGGAGAAGCATGCTTCCTGCTGAGCAGAGAGCCTGATGCAGGACTTGATCCCAGGACCCTGGGATCATGACCTGAGCCGAAGGCAGAGATTTTAAATCACTGAGCCACCCAGGCGCCCAAGCAAGACCATTCTTTTTTTAAATATTTTATTTATTATTTGACAGACAGAGATCACAAGTAGGCAGAGAGGCAGGCAGAGAGAGAGAGAGGAGGAAGCAGGCTCCCCGCCAAGCAGAGAGCCCGATGTGGGGCTCAATCCCAGGACCCCGGGATCATGACCTGAGCCGAAGGCAGAGGCTTTAACCCACTGAGCCACCCAGGTGCCCCAAGCAAGACCATTCTTAACAGATTAATTCACTATAAACTTCAATACAATCAAGTGGATATTTTTTGCTCTTTGAACTTATTTCTTTATGACTTTATATATTTTGTCTGACTGGCTCGGCACACGTAATGTCACCCATAGGAAGTGATTACAGAGTAAAGTGAGACTAACCCCCAAAATGAGAAAATCATACTTTTGTCAAACCATTTTAGACATCTTTCCAAGTTTGGACTAGGGAGAGAATACTTAATGTACTTTAACAGCTGGCAGAATTATTATACTAAAGAATGTAACATTTGAACGTAATTATGGGGCTGGAACTTAAATTGTCTCTTCTGTTCTTAACCAAAATGAATAGAGTCTAGGTGGACGCTAATCAGTATCATATTAGCAAGAGGCCTTACATTTCTTCCTCCCTGTCAAACACTGTTCAGAAATCAGGTATTAAGGAATAAATCTCATATTCAGCATTCCTTCTATTAATGATAAAAATTCCTTTTTTTTTCCATGATAAAAATTCTTGAGAAAGACTATGCATATCAAAATGTGACTGGAGAGATTTTTCACTTTGAGGAAAAAGAAATGATGCACTTTCCATCTTTTGGATTCATACTGATCTTTTTACTGACTATAGAAAAAAAATGTGTAGCGTGTAACTGAGTATATTCTAATAGAGTAAACAAGTAGATTTTTAGAGAAAGTGGAATTTTAGAGAACATTTACTTTAACATTTAAATGTATAGGTTAGGCACTGAGGCCCAGAGTGGAAGTCGGGAAGCTTGGTCAGAGCAGGTATCTCAACAAACATACCCTCTTGGCATTCACAAGTACAGGATTGGAGTAGTTCCGAGAAGTCATGACCAGAAATTGAAGACCTAGATCATTCTCACAGAAACAATGGTAAAAATCCTAAGGGAAGATGAATTCACCACAAGATTTAAAAATAAGACTTAAACTGTGACAAATACCTAAAGACTACAAATACCTAGGGTACATGACAAGAGAAAAACTCATGTATTTCATTTCTTTCCTAGACTAAAGCCAGCAACTTACATAAATGTAAAGAGATACAGCACATCTTGGACACCACCCAGAAATCACCCTCTTATAAGCCAAAGGAATCTGACGGTCAGCTCTCTAGAGTGGCTCCAGTCTGTGTCCCAGAGATCACTTGAAAACCTGTCACCTCTCAAAGTGCCCAAGAAGAAGAAAAAACACTCTCGAATCAAGGCCACAAAGACTAAAGACGTAAAACCTGTCAGCAGCAAATGGGAGACTTATCCCTCAAGTCTCGAAAAGGACGCGGATATTAGCAAAGAAAAGAGTCTTCAAGCTGAAGAATGCAACGAGCAAAACTCTATGAAAATAGCTCCACATCCAACTAAAAATAAGGATGAGCAACCAAGCAAGAAGTATGGACAACCTGCCTTCTATTTGAAGCTCCAAAGAGACAAATAATTCAGCTTTATGCTACTCTGAAAACCTTGGATGAAAATACCGTATGCTTACTTAGTAAAAAGAAAAGGAAAAGAAAGAAAAAAGCCCTCCCCACCCTCATTCTCTCTCTCCCCCCCTTACAGATACATATGCATATCCCAACTACAAGGTTCAGATAACCCATCTTCATTAGTGGCAACATCTTCCAGAGATTTAAAAAGAAATCCAGAGAAATTACAGAAAATTTAAAATCACTTATTTATATTTAATTTTTGTCAGGATGGAAAAAAAATCTATGAACTTCTGAATTCTCCCAAAACAACGTGTGCATTAGAACACCAAAAAACTAAGAACTCAAGGACAGAATGACATCTACTATCAATGACTCTAACATCCCTAGTAGGCACCTTAATAAGTCAATCAACAAATATCTTTTCTTGAATTTCTTTTAGTGTGCTAGAAACCATCAATGGTATAAAAGACATTTCTCCCCACTAGATTACTGTATAATTGTACATGTAAAACACACAAGACTAACATAATTACAGAGTAAGATGGTACATAGGAAAGTGCTAAGTTGTACACATGTGACAGTTAAAGAAAATACTATGTATTAAAGGGTGTTAATTGCACAAAGCAAGTGTGTCACAAAATAGCACCGAAATGCATAGTTGATGGTTTACAGTGGTCATTTTACTTCTGAAAATGTAGCAACAATGTAAAAGATGAGATGTGCAGTTTGCTTTAGAGCTAATGAATGTCCATTTCCAGCCATTTAGTCATGTGAAAGCCAGTGGGACATCTCAGTTTATCATTCATAAGATGGCAGTGGAGGGATTCCTCAACGACACTACAGAGAAATAGGTGCGTCAAGCAAATAAGTCAAGATGGATGTGATGAGTGAGAAAACGAGAGTCACAGGTCACCTGTGGTGTCCATTGCGCGGTAAGGCTAAGCAGAATGAGAATCAGGTAGATGAGGCACATGAAAGATACAGGCTACAAGCTAATAAGGTTATGGTAGCAAGATGGAACTAAGAAAACCCAAGGTTGGGTAGTCTACTCCCAACAATCCCAAAAGCCAGAGGATTCAAGGAGAACTCACTGGGATAGTAAAAGAGTAACTATGTTTCTGTTTTGGTTTTATTTTCTGTTTTAATAGAGTTTATTTTTTAGAAAAAGTTCACAGCAGCACTGAGCAGAAAGTATTTCCCATAAAACCCTGGACACCCACACCTACATAGCCTCCCCATTATCACCATCGCCCACCATCTGTTAGAACTAAGGACGCTATACTGATACATCATGATGATCCAAAGCCCATAGTTTACATTAGGGTTTACTCAGGGTGTTGTACTTTGTCAGTTTGGACAGGTGTCTAGTGAGATAGATCTACCGTTACAGTACCATACAGATTAGTTTCACTGGGGCCCCTGGGCTCAGTCAGTTAAGCAGAGTCCTGGGATCAAGTCCTGCCATCTGGCTCCCTGCTCAGCAGGGAGTCTGCTTTTCCCTCTCCTTCTCCCCCTCCCCCACTGCACATGCTCTCATGCTTTCTCAATCTCTCTCAAATAAATAAAATCTTTAAAAAAAAAAAAAAAGTAGTTTCACTGCCCTAAATATTCTCTTTGCATATTCATCTTTCTCTCCCCACTAACCCCTGGCAACCACTCATCTTTTTGCTGTCTGTATAGTTTAACTTTTTCCAGAATATCTCATAGCTGGAATCACATAGTGTTTAGCCTTTTCAGATTGACTTATTTCACTTAGTAATATGCATATAAACTTTATCATGTCTTTTCATGCCTTAATAGCTAATTTGTTTATAATGTTGAATAATATTCCATTGTCAATAACATAAGCTTCTGGCAATGTTAATTAAGAAAAAAAAAAGACAAATTATTAATATCAGAAAGGAGAAGCCATTAGTATTAATACCACAGACATTAAAAGGTTAATAAAAGAATATTCCAGTCCCGCATCGGGCTCTCTGCTCAGCAGGGAGCCTGCTTCCTTCTCTCTCTCTCTCTCTCTCTCTCTCTCTCTCTGCCTGCCTCTCTGTCTACTTGTGATCTCTCTCTGTCAAATAAATAAATAAAATCTTAAAAAAAAAAAAATATTCCAAACAACTGTCTACCCACAAATTGGTTAACCTATATGAAATGGACCAACTCCCTGAAAGACACAATCTGCCAAAATTCACACAGGAAGAAATAGACTAGTTGAATAAGCCTATATCAATTAAATTGAATAAATAAGTTATCAAGAGAGAAATCACCAGGCCCAGATGGGTTGACTGAATTCTATAAAAAATTTAAGAAATTACACCAAATCTCTACAATCTCTAACAGAAGACAGAAGCAGAGAAAATACTTCCTAATAGAGTACGGAAAAAAAATGGTACAGCCGGGGTGCATGGGTGGTTCAGTGGGTTAAGCCTCTGCCTTCTGCTCAGGTCATGATCTCAGGGTCCTGGGATCCAGCCCCACATCGGGCTCTCTGCTCAGCGGGAGCTGCTTCCCCCTCTCTCTCTGCCTGCCTCTCTGCCTACTTGTGATCTCTGTCAAATAAGTAAATCTTTAAAACAAAGTGGTATGACCACTTTGAAAGACAAACCCAAAACATATTCTTACTATATGATCCCCAAATCACAGTCCTTGGTATTCACATAAAGGAGTTGAAACTTCTGTCCACACAGATATTAACAGCAGGTTTATTCGTAAGTGCCAAAACTTGAAAGAAACCAAGATGCCTTTCAGTAGCGGAATGGTAAACTGTGGTACATCCAGAGACAATGGGTTATTCAGCACTAAAAAGAAATGAGCTATCAAGCCATGAAAAGACATGGAGGAACCTTAAGTATGTATGTATGTATTTATTTAAAGATTTTTATTTATTTGACAGAGAGAGAGCGAGCACAAGTAAGCAGAGAGGCAGGCAGAGGGGAGGGGAAAGCAGACTCCCCGCCAATCAAAGAGCTGGATGTGGGGCTTGATCCCAGGACCCTGAGATCATGACCTGAACCGAAGGCAGAGGCTCAACCCACTGAGCCATCCAGGCATCCCGGAACCTTAAGTATTTATATTTAAATATTTATATTGCTATCCATTTATAAAAATGAATGAGGGTGTCCATTTCTATCCATTACAGAAAAGCTGGTAATGGACTAACCCATCCTCTATAAACTAAAACCAAATCATCTACATGACATAAGTGACTTCAGGCAACAGATCGTGATTAGCACAGGACTGTGGTGCTTAACCCATTCATTCAGTCCCACCTTTCATCCTAGAGGCATTTTCCAAACCATGGTTCAGAGGTGGAACCCCACAATCTTACTGGCCAGACAAAATAGAGATCAGAGTTTGCGTCTGCTCTGAGAGCTGAAATTTAGAGGCAGCGTACTGAAAAAGAAGGAACCACAGAAAAACAGCCCCCAAAATCTATGTAGAAAATTACTCTCAGGTCCCTGACCATATCCTAAGATGCTTATGTAAAGGCAAGTATAGTAAACAGAGTAGAAAAGAGTCCTGGGAAGACACTGGGGTTCCAACTCAACCAGAATATAGAGACCTTGGTGAAAATACCCAACATTGAATTGAAACCTCAGAAAAAAACATGTCCTGTGAATAAAGACCATGCATAAGAGCAAAGGCTCCAGCCTAGGACTAAGGACAAAACTGGAATGGAACATTCAAACAAAGATTAAAATAAAACCCCCGGACCCTGAGACCATGACCCAAGCTGAAGGCAGAGGCTTTAACCCACTGGTCTCAGGGTCCTGGGATTGAGCCCCGCATCGGGCTCTCTGATCAGCGGGGCGCCTGCTTCCCCCTCTCTCTCTTTGCCTATCTCTCTGCCAACTTGTGATCTGTCAAATAAATAAATAAAAATATTAAAAAAAAAAGAATGATCTGCCCTCCACCACCAAAACAATAAAAAAAAGTTATATTTCATTTTTACCCCAGAAGGGTGAGCAGTCTTTCTGAATATAAAAAGAAGTTGCTTAAGTCATTTTTTTCGTAATAAAAACCTTTTTTTTTTTAAGATTTTTTATTTATTTATTCGACAGAGAGAAATCACAAGTAGGCAGAGAGGCAGGCAGAGAGAGAGGAGGAAGCAGGCTCCCCGCTGAGCAGAAAGCCCGACGCGGGGCTCGAACCCAGGACCTGGGATCATGACCTGAGCTGAAGGCAGCGGCTTAACCCACTGAGCC